TTTTATCATTACAGTAAAATTTTGCACACACATGTTCACTTGTTCACGATCTCATTTGTTCTAATAAACATTACTAAAGTATTTTGACTGAATTTGACTCTTAATTTTAATAACTGTTTAGTGTATCAAGTTGAATATTCCTAACTTACAAAAATTACTTTTCAATTGTACAGAAAACCAATGAATTGTGAATCAAATTGATTTGAATCGAATTTGATTCACACCCCTAAAGGTATTTATAACAAGACTCTGACACTATGTTGAAATTTCATTCAAGATTCAGCATGGCTGCCACTTACGTTCTTAGCCATGCATCTTGCTTTTGTACACTTATATCTTTAAATACACTTAGACATTTGCGTGTATGTGGCTTGTCTTCTATTTGTTCAAAGACACCAAGTCTTAACGCTGGCTCTTAGTGTGGTATTTCCCTTGAGACTGTGGTGTAGTTAACTAGAGTCCTTTGTCATCTTTCCACACCATTCACACCTTGTCCTACATTCAGACTAACTTAATTATACAAATTATCCAACTATCATTAGAAGTCTGAAAGGAAAGTTTCAGTAGGCCTCCTTTAAATAGGCCTAAGCCACCATAGCACTTGGGCTTTTTAAGTTAGGTGGAAAATAAAGGACATTTTACAGCGAATGCAAAGATATGTAGGTGTCTGCAGTTGAACATTTCTGAACCCGTAATTCAATTCCATGAACTTGTGATCAACAAGTCACGTTAACCCACATTCTTTAAAGGCTATTGCTGTATGTGCATGCCTGGAGCTCCGTTGTAAGCTGTTTTGACAGTGCTGTGTTTTGTCATGAACCGGGCAGCATGTCCTGGAGTCAGCAAGTTCTGATATGGAGCAACAGCTGTGTGCACACGAGCCACACACCTCCACAGAGCTCCACACAAGTGTTGCAACATTACACATACTCACTCAGACGTGCAGCTCTGGGCTTTCACTGTATTTCACATCAGGGTAGAATATTTTGGCTCTTCAGGCATGTTTGTGTTGAGTGTGTTGGTATCTTTTGTTTATGATTCCTGTTTAGCTCTGCTGTCTACCTCTCTCCATACTACCGGTCACTTGTATGGTGCCCTTGTTTTATTTATTGTTACATTTTGTCTGGTTGTATTTGTAGTTTCCCTCCTTTATTGGCCCCTGTGTCCTTATTTTTTATCTTTTTATCTGTAGGAACATGCTGCTGTAGTTTATACAGTTCACTGTACTTTTGAATTCTCTGTATTTTAAATACATATGACAATAAATCTACCCTTAAAGGTGAACTTATTGCTCAACTACATCTATTTTGCACCTTTTTAGAGTGATAGTTATGTGAGAAATTTACACAACATTGGAATGTTGTCGATCAGTCAAGATGTTTAGTGTTTGAAGGTTGCGTGTTTAGCTTTGCACTGGAGTTAATGGAGTGGTCAAAATTAGTTTTGGGGCACTTCTATCATCATTTGCTTTTGAAAAAATATTTAATTTATGCCTCTTGGAAATTGTGCTTTACCTTATTTGAAAGTACATAATCTCAGCTATATTATGAATCATCTGTCACCTAACTGCCTATTTTACTTCAAAACAAATGCTGGCACGCTAATATAAATGCATAGATTCAAACTTGAGACACCAGACATCTCCACCAGTGTACCATCCAACACAACACATCACCTCTATTTCATTCATTTTCCAAAAAAAAAGTCTTTTGGAAATAAAATGTCTGTGAGAAAGATTACCAATATGACAAATTCCAAAATCAGTAGTGGAAAATATACTAATCAGAAACAGAATCAAGCTTTATTGGCCAGGTATGCTTACACATACAAGGAATTTGGCTTTGGTTACAGGAGCTCACAGTGCACAGTATCAGACAGACATTAACATGTAGTGAATAAAATAAATATAAAATAAAATACAATAAAATACAATAAAATACAAAACAGAAAAATAAAATAAAACATGCATTTCTACCATCACTCACTCGTACACACACACACACAGTCATACCTGTAACATTTACATTGTGCAAAGTATGGGTCTAAAGTTAAAGTGCTGAGTGCAGCAGCGGTTAAAGGGTGTATAGTAGCAAAGAAAGGGATCAATGAGGTGACAGTCAGATAAGTGAGGTAATATGGCAGGTACGTAAGATGCTAGAATAAACACTGGTCTGAGGTGGTATTTTCAGAGGATGGAGTTGAGTTTGATACTATATACTAGTATTTTAGAAGTGCAGTAAATTGATGGAAAGAGACAGGACTTGTTCAAAACCACAAAAAAAAAGAAAAATCCAACAAACTTGGTTGAGCATCACTTGTAGAAACTCATGTACTCCATGCCTAGATGCCTTCTAGCTGTCATCCAAATGAAGGGATATGCTCTAAAATCCTAAACTAAATACAATAATAAATACTAACCTACAGGAAAAAGACACTAATGTTTATCCCACTAATGTATTTGTACTTTACTTGCCTTACTTAGGTTTTCAGTTAATTACATGAAGTTTGAGTAAACCTGGTTGTTATTGCTGCTTGTTTCAACTTTTCTGATGGATATGAATGAATAAATGATAGTAAGAAATAGTAAGAAATAAACAAGATAGAAGTTTTCTCAGAGAGTGTCCCAAAGCTACTTTTAAGCACCCTAGCTAACAAGCTCTGCAGGCTTGTACTTCACCAGTCAGCATCGTGCAAACCACATGCATAAATCATCAAACCAGGTTGAATTGTAAGTGAATCTTGCTTATGTGGTTTCTCAAACTGTATGACATAGTATAACATAAAAGTACTCAAAACTGTAGACAAAACAACCATCTTGAAGCATGAATTGTCTGTTCTTTTGTTCGTTTTTTTGTACGTTTGGTGAAACCAGAAAATTTTATATGTTTGTCATTTATTCCCTGTTTCACTTGTACCCACAATCGAAGATCATATTCTTTCCACTTGTTTGGAAAAAGTGGTCCCTCTTAAGTACATTAAGCTTTGCGTTGAGCTTCATAGGTGACTTTTCTCATTTGCCCCTAAATGCTCCCTACCTCTCTTAACGTTCACATTGACTCAGAAGCCCACATTCAGGTTGCATTAGAAATCACTCAGTGCCTAGTGCAGTAAAGCCGCTTCACACTTCATTTGAATTCAGTTTTTCAGGGTGACTTTCACTCGGTGACTTCGAAAATCACTGACTGCAGGAGCTTTGGAAGGCTGCGACATGCACTATGCCCTTAAGCACAGCGAGAGAGAGAGAGCGAGAGAGAGAGACTTCATTTGCTCAGACCCTGCTCTTGCTTTCCAATCTGGCCTTTAAAGAACCTGATTATACATTCATATACTGCAGCCAGCCAAGGGCAAACATATGTTTTGTATAGCCTACTAATTTCCTCCTACCAGGCTTGTTTCCTCTCTGCAGTGGTTCTGTAGTGCTCTAACTGTAATCTGAGACTGCACGCTGACCATAGCACAGCTGTCTGCAGGTGAGAGCCCTACATGCACGTCTTGTTTACGACATCTCAAAGAAAAGCAAACGTAAGAGTTGTGAAGGAGAAGAACAAACAGCACCACTCAGACCTTTTGTTTTTATCTTGATTTGACAGACTCCGATTGACCTGATGTAGCACTTTTCTGCATGTTAATATTGCGTCAGGTGTTTTAGAGCAAAGAAAACACTAATGAGCTATTTAACAAGTCTTTCCTGAGTTGAAGTGGAAGTGTAGGAGCAGAGAAAACACCAAAATGATCACAGCAGGGAACCTCTGATCTAGTACACCTAGGCTGAGCACTGTGGCGTTCTCTTTTTTGCCCACTCTGACTGTGGTAGAACTTTTTATCGTAAGAGAAACATTGCTCAAGAATTGTACTCGTTATCAGCGTTGTTGACATTTCAGTTTGAATGCTGGTGTTGTAATAGAAGTTGAAAGGAGGCAGCTTCTGGCAGCTCTTGCAGTATGGCAGTCAAATTAATCTGCATTTGCCTGCCTGTTACATAACACATACACTGCTGTGCTGTAATTTAAATTTAATGCTACAAATAAGATTTGGCAAAATAATAATATGCAGCATATCATATGAAGTCAGATTTTGTCAGGAATTTTGAGTTAAAGAGTTGCCAGTGTAGGGAAATCACTTTAGTGCTACAGTGTTCAGGGACCGCTTGCACGAGCTGTATGTAAATTCAGATATAGGCTAGTTATAACGTAGGCATTTGCTAAGTTCAAGTTTATGCTTTGCTAAATCAAAACAGGTTGCCCATCACAAACTAGTTTTTATACTGAGCTTAGTAGTTACTGTATATTTACATAAGCAGCTTTAAGGGTTAGACAAGCCAAAGGAAACCACCTAGATAGTGCAAAAAAGATCAAAAACAGGACCTGATATTATATTATTATTTATTTATATTTTTTTTTGGTCCACTAAACTAAAAATGCTAAATGCTGTAGGCTATAATTTTGCTTACAGCTCTTGACCCTGGTTTTAACTCAAAACATGAAGTGGACATCCATAACTCTAGTTCAGTGAGACTCAACCTGGTGCTGCTGTTGTCGGCTGTTCAGAAAACGTTACTTAAAAAAAGCCTTACATTCAGTTGGTGCTTCACATTCAGTTGATGGTGCAAAATTTATTAAACAATGGCTTAAAACTAACTTAGTTAACCAGGGTAAACTGAGGACTTAGTAAAGACAAACTTTGGTACAAACTTATGCAAAACTAGTGCAACCCAATCCAGATGTTTTCTGCAAGGTACAGGTTGTATTGATGTTGCAAGCAGCTGTGTGATGTGTCATTTGATAAGCAGGGAGTAAGAAATAGGTGACAGCTGTGGAAAATGTATGAGTGTAGTGTATAAGACGCGTGCCTGAAGAATGGAGTATGACATTATTGCTTTCATTTCCTCTTTTATACCCACAAATGAGTGAGTTATGCTGAATGCTTTGACTAGGCCTCAACTTTCAACTATAGTGAAATTCACTTTTCTGTAACATTGTCCCTCTCTGTCTCTCTTCCAGAGGAGTAATGATGAGAATGGGAACTGTTCTGGGGGCAGTATGGAGTTTCCCACCACTAACCTGTATGAGCTTGAGAGCAGGGTGTTCACTGACCACTGGTCAATCCCTTACAAGAGAGAGGAGTCACTCGGCAAGTGCCTCATCGCCTCCACCAGCCTCGCCCGACTCGGTAAGAATGCACTCAGGAGTGTGCGCGTGTGTGTATGTATTTGCACATTTTTAAGGCAAAAAGTTTGGAGAAACTAGGCAAGACATCAAGTCAAACTAAATTTTTAAAAGTACTATATATGGTGCATATGGGACATATATTTCACCTCAAGTCCCGATTTTGTATGAAAACAAGTGAGTCTGTGTGTGGGTGTGTCTGATCTTTTCTCTTTCTTTGTTTGCAGGCCTGGCTGATGCAGATGAGAACTGTAAGAGGTTCATGGACCGATGCATGCCTGAGGCCTTCAAAAAGGTATGCACATAGGTCTAAGACCTGGTACAGATCTTAGGAAATTTTTGTTTATTTGTTGTGTGTTTTTGCGTGTGGGTTGGACGGTCTGAGAAGCTCCTCTGTTCCTACCGAGAGGGCGTTCCTAACCCTAAACTACATACTTTGCCTCTTATTTATGTTTGCATCACTTTGCTTCAATAACCAGTTTCAGCACAACAAATAATGTGGCAATGCCACAGCAGAGCCTCCTTAAACTAGAGAAAATAAACCTGTGTTTCTGATCAGAAACACAAATTTTCACATTGTTTTGTAACATTATTTATCATTAGATCTCAAATACAAACTGGCACATACAGTAACCCAGATGAGTTTTACCTTGGAGCAAATGGTAAGCTTGTTAACTTACACTAGTTTTGTCATTAAACTACGAGTGCGCTCTTAGCTTAATCCTAAACTTTTTTCAGCTTCAGGATGGAAATAAACACACCACCACCTTCTGTGTGATCAGTGTGTGTCTGATTTATATAGTTCAGATTGAACCACTGGCATTGCCGTTTTCATGGCAAGTTTGTTCTGCTGTGTTTTGCTGTGGTTATTCATTCGCTTGACAGAAGAAGTGCTTAGAAACGATTGTGATTGGCGGAGAGGCAATTTTTTTTGCAGTCAGTTGTTAGCAGCAGCCCTAGTTCAGACCTCCTTTTCTTTTGGTTGTTTTTCTCACTCTTCCACTCTTTGACCCCCTCTGTTCTCTTCTGTCCTGTAGTTGTTGACGTCAAGTGCAGTGCATAAGTGGGGGACAGAGATTCATGAGGGCATCTACAACATGTTGATGCTGCTGGTGGAGCTGGTGGCAGAGAGAGTCAAACAGGACCCTATTCCTATTGGCCTCATGGGAGTATTGACTATGGTGAGAGAGAGACACACACACACACACACACACACACACACACACACACAGAGCAAAAGGGTCTCAGTCGATGTGGAAAAAAGTAGGAAAAAAAGGCCAGAAAAGCTGCCCACCGAGAGAGGGGGTGTTGCAGTTTTTCAGCAATGTTGGATCACTTAACAGTCACAAAGTAAAAGCATTCTTAATGTTTAAACAGAATGTGGAAGGTTTGAATTTCTCTGTTGTGGCTCTATTACTGCACATATATCTTATATCTTATGTGTGCAGAAATGTATAATTTAGATTTGTACTTGAATGAAGAGTGGTCATTTAACAGGAACTTTGCTTCTTAAGCAGTGTTGGGGTAAAGTGATCTCTCTTCCTGTAACATTGTGCAGTTTATATTTGTCACATTACAGTTACTGAATTACATTACTTACTCATAAGTCTCTAAGAGAACGTAATAAATTCTGTGAGATTAATTAAAATAATAACTTTCCTATATAGATTATTAGTGCCTGTCCTTGTACATGACTTGTGTGCAGCTGTGTTACCTACTACATCTAACTATGTGACTTTGATTATGAATGTGAACAGCTCAGCACAAGCATGGGAACAATCTGTCAAAACATCTAATCACACTAACGTGAAACTGATGGCTACAGACCCCTGTGCTGAGGAATAGAGAGATCCAACCTCACCTAAACAAACCAGTCTTTGGAAACATCTCTGAAAACTTTCTTATATTCATTCAAATTTTATTTCAGGGCAGCTATTTTTGAATTGTTTCTTGTGGCTGGTTTTTTGGTTTTCAACAGCATCAGCTGTTCAAAGGCAGGCAAAGTGATGGGTATTTTAAATGATGTTTATTGTGTGCTGTTTCTAGATAAATAACTGAAAAGGATTGGTGGGTTTTCTCTTGTATAGTTGGTACATGTGGGTAGGAATAAAGTAATGGAGTAGTTAGATTACTTAAGTAAGATTAAGTAACATAATCTCATTATAGTTTGAAAAAAGTAATTAGTAACTTGTAATAGATTACTTTTTGAGACACTATCCTGACACTTTATTGCACGTTAGCTACATGACTAACATTTACTAGTAAATAGTGAAAGATGCTGTTCACTTATTCATGATTTTGTCATTTCTGCTATATTTCATATTTTTTTGTAACATGCTGCATTCTTAATATTTTTACATTTATATTTATTTTTATATGTATTTCCTTTTTTTCGAATTGTGAAAAGTGAACCTTATTAAAATGTCAGATGGTTTGTGGTTGCAGATATTCATTTGGTAATCATTTGGCAGACATTTGGTACTGCCATTGTTTAGCACTAGAATTCCTAGTTTTACATTATACTGATCTAACTCTGATATTGCTGCTGTATAAAATTATCACCGTCATAGTGTTTTTGATGAGACTTGTGCTTCTGATTATATTAACCATGCGTACACCTCTAATGGATGCCTGTGCACCATGCACGTACTACAGGTTTGTACAGTTGAACATATAACACACAGTATTGAACTAATGCATGTGTTGAACGATCTCTCTCTCTCTCTTGTTTCTCTCTCTCTCTCTCTCTCTTGTTTCTCTCTCTCTGCCAGGCGTTTAACCCTGATAATGAGTATCACTTTAAGAACCGTATGAAGGCGAGCCAAAGGAACTGGGCCGAGGTGTTTGGGGAAGACAGCATGTTTGCCGTCTCTCCCAGCTCCAGCTACCAGAAGGTGATCTATGCTCTTCACACCTTTCGCATTTTACCCAGCTGTGTGCTGCCTGTGGGTGTGTTTGCCTTTGTCTCTTGATCAGATGATAAATCCATTCTGTCAGAGGTCAGAAAAACTGGTTTCATAGGTTCCATCGTGCATAGGTATGGTATGTGTAATGGAGGGAGTATGACTGGGCAGTGATGCCGACTGACAGGAAGCAGCAGTGTCTGTGTCTTCCGTATGTGTGTGTATGTGTGCGTGTGGACATGGGACACCTGCTTTGCTGCTTGTTTTCTGTGTCTGCACTATTTCACTTTCACTTCTTGCATTTCTATGAGTCATTCACAGAAATAATGACTCAAAAAGGGTATCCGGTTAAACATAACTACCAGAGTACTGAGTTCAGAAACTTCAGTGGAACTTTGTTGTGTCTCTAGCATCTATCAGCATAAGAACTGGAGTTCAGGCTCTATGCTTTTCTTTTTGGGATCATTTTGGTCTAAAATACAAAGCTAAAGTTTGGTAGTATGAACAAGTATTTATGCCACTAACATAACATAATGGAAAAAAGTAAAAGAATTATTATTCAAAGATACTCAGAACTATAAATCCAGAAAGATTTCAATTAAGTACATATAACTGAGTACATTGAATGAATTGCTACTCAATTCTAGTTTGTACAATTTTATATTGAAACTGTTTAATACAGTGAATTGCAGTGATTTGGTGTTCGTTGTACACCCATGTGGATTTTTATTTTTTTGCAATTTGCTTTTGTTTTGTGTTTGCAGGAGCCTCATGGCTGGCTGGTAGACCTTGTGAATCGGGTAAGCACCTTTTTAAATCATGTTCATACGTATTGCTGTTAAATAATGATTTATGTTTGATTTTAGTATAGTTATTAAAAAATGATAGTGAATTATGTCTTGTGATGTGTTTGTCAGACACTTTGAGATTAACTGTTTGTTTTGGAAAAAGCTTTTTTTTACATAGCTTTTCAGAACACTGAAATTGTTTCATAAGCATTGTTGTGATAATTGAGAATTGATTAGACAATCCATCAGTATGTCCAGTCAGGAACACAAACAACACAAGCCCCAGGAAAAGAAGGAGATGAGCCACTCTGATTTGCTGCCAAGTGTCAGATTTAGGCCTATAAAAACAATGTAGATCAATAAAAATTGTTAATATATCACTGTGCAATGTGTTAGTAGTATAATAACTCTTATAAAACGGATAGTTCTGGTCCTAAAATCTGATTTGCTGAGCCGCATTCAAACCCGTTGTAAAATCCACGATATACCGCGGCAATGACCGCCTCACAACAGCTGAACTCTGTATCACTGCGCCACGGCACGGAAAACCCTTCTGCTCTCAATAGATTAATCTTTGACTCTAACGCTGATTACATGGAGCACCGAATGTACTGATGACGTAAGAACCCGTTTTTGTTTAAACTGAGGGGCTGAAAACTTATTTTGTTATCTAGAACTAGGCTGGTCAGCTAGCCAACAGGCTAAAAGATAGCAAACATGCTAAACAACTCTATCACAGGCTTGAATTAAAGTACTCACGATATGATTCACTGAAAAACAGCAATATAAAAGTCTAAAGAATGTCACCTGAATGTCTTACATGCTTCAAATGTCTCCGTACTAGCTAAATAGTGTGCTGTATAACATTAAGTTCAGAAATTCTAGCTTCTGCTGTCAAACAGTACACTGCCTGCAGAGTATGTATGTGGATGAATCCCAAATGACCATTTTTAGCGATATTTTGCGTTTTTGGGGTGCAGGAATATTTAAATCCCTACGTAGTGCACTATGTAGGGAACAGGGAGCTGTTTGAGATTCAGCCCCAGTGTGAGAAAAGTGATATCGTCAGACTGGCAGAAGACTCGCTGTGTTAATTTGGTGACCAAAAAGTACTTATAAACTGAAAGTATTTGCATTAAACAGTGCAACGTTATGTATGTTCACTGTTATACGGAAAAAGCTTTAAAAAAATCATGAAATGTCCGCAGTTTACAGTGATTGGCGACCAAACGTTCTTCTCCTCATTCAGGAGTTAATGGTTGCTTAGCAATGATACTGTACTCTAAAGGAACTACTTTCTTGAAGGAATGATTATTATTAATAATAACTTACACAATGTTTTAGATAATTATTTATTTTACTATATATTTATGTTGGCTGACGTTTTATAAAAGCAATAAGCCACTCGAGGCAGTAGATTTTATCACGGGGAAGGAAGTTTTAGGCACTCCACTTCACGTCATGCCAAAACACCCTTCCCTGTGATAAAATCACAGTAACCCACAGCCTCTCATGGCTTATTGCTTTATTAAGCCGATTTCACACCAGATGCAACGTGATGCGAGGGTTAATCTGGAACCACTCTTTGATGCTTGTTACTTCCCACCGGATGCGTTGCAAAAGCAGTTGCTGTTACTGTTGTAACAGCAAAATGTAATACAAGTGGCTGTATTGTTAGTTTATCGCTTAGATAAGTTTTATGTAGGTGATATAAAGAGATCAACAATAAACATCTTACTTCCTGGCATGACTGTCACTAGCTTTCCGTATGATGTATAGCTATACGAAGAGGGAGAGATGCATGTAGGTTTACAACATTAAGCTACACAAAGGATTTCTGTCACCTTCTCACAGAGTTAAAACTACATTTGTTGACTTGTTAGCCTTTATTATAGCATAAACACTGCATTTCTTCACTGTTTCTGCCTATCAGCTGTTGACAGGCTGTGCTTGGCAACAACAAAAATAGATTAGAGTATTTTTGCATTTCACGTGCGCTGCTGCCACACGCACAGCCAGTGTGTAAGGCTATATTGAGTAATATAAAAGAATATTTTGAGTGGCGTGGTTACCATGTGTGATGTGAAATGATGTAAGATATATATATTTTTTTTATTTATTTATTTTTTCTCTCTCTCTCTCTCTCTCTCTCTCTCTCGCTCTCTCTCTCTCTGCAGTTTGGAGAGATGGGTGGCTTCACAGCCATTCAGAGCAAGCTGAACCAGGAGGAGATGGAGATTGGGGTAAGGATGGCTGGGATAGCACCGATCTAATAACATGTATTGGTATTGGGCAGAAGCGAGCAGAAAATACCGGGTCGGATTTTGTGTGGGGGTTTAGTGGTTTCCAGTTCCACCCACTAGTTAGGACTCCCCTAGTCACATGGTACCACCAGCGCTAGGAGGGCGAAGGCTAGCACAGGCTTCCTCCGAGACCTGTGAAGTGCCGCCGCATCTTTTCGAACTGCCGCTCGCGCAACGTCATTGGACAGCACTCGGAGGAAAAGCGCCAATCACCAAATCTGTCATGTCAGCTAACAGACGCCTGCGCTGACTAGCATCGCGTTTTTGGGTGATGGGGGAGGGGGGCTCCTACCCACCCAGAGAGTGAGACCAATTGGGCACTCTTGGACTCCCAGCCAGGGTTGGCTGTAGTATCACCAGGGCTTGACCTCCAATTTGCTGATGATAGAGCCAATGCTTAGACGCTTGCGTCACTTGGGAGCCAAAAACTCACCAGTTTATTAAGACAGAACATTGGATCAGTGATGGTTTTGACTGTTACTCAAGGTTTTAATATCACTGTTGTAAAAGAAAAGTGCTTTTCTACATCTTTACACTGAGGGACAGATGTACTAAGTCTTGTTTGTTGCGTGAGTTTTAGGCACAAGTAGGACATCTGCCTGCATGTCATCTGTAAACCTGGCGGTGCAGTCCTAAATGCACTATTTAAGTGCCGTGAACCTAGAAAATGCATATTGTTTCTTTCCCTTATGTGTATGCGTGTGGGTGAATCATGCTAAAAATGGGTGGAGATATAAGAAATGTTAGAGATTACATTTTGCGTTCAGTGTACTAGTTTGAGCAATTTTCGGTGGTGAATTTTCGGTGGTGCGTCAGATGCGTATTATGCCTGTACAGGGAATATATTTACCAACTTGAACGAATTTTTCAGCACTAAACGCCAGATTTACATACATTAGTAAAATGCAGTGCAGAATGTGCCTTGAATCACATACCTGTAGAACGTTTTGATGAGAGAAAATGTATTCACACTGCTATCTCTTCATCACTGAACTTTCCTTTTCTTTTGTCTTGAGCTTGTTGGTGGCTCCACCATTTCACTGCCCATCTTAACCATCTTATAGGCATGTCATAATTAGTAAGTAGTCCTATGTGCATTTTGCGTGCTTAGCTATTGCTTTAGTGAACTAAACATTTAATTTTAGGCACATAGAGTGGCCACATCAAGTCACATGTACACTCTCAGGTATGTTTCTGGTCCTAGTTTTGCACAAGTTTTTCAAATGAATTTACACCTTCCACATCTTGGACTAGGGCTTAATACATTTTGCTACTTCATTCTAGACAACCATATCGTGATGTAAGCAAATCTGGCTGGCAGAGTTTTGAATGAATGATTCAGTAACCATAGTGCTTTAGAGAGAGGGAGAGAGAAAGGGGAGGGGTGGAGGATGGAGAGAGAGAGAGAGTAGAGAGTGCAGGAAGAGTTCACTGAGGGCAGAGATTCAATTATGGTGTGTGTGCTAAATATCTTAAAAGGTGTTTATCCCTGCCAATGAGAGCATCCTCTTCTAAATAGAGAGAGAAATGGGGAGAAGAGAGGAAGCGACTGGAAGATAAACAACATCAAAGCCAGTTATTAGTGCCTTCACAAATCCATATTGCGTTACACAGACACAAGAAGTTATGGATGTTTAATTTTTGATAATAAGTAGGGAAGAGAGGGGAATTGAAAGACAGGTGTCAAAAAAATCTCATGCTTGTTTCATAATATTGTCTTGGAATAGGCCTGTGTCAAAGATTTTAATGTAGAGACTTTCTGATTTAGGGTTTGACGATACGGCAAAAATATAACTTTTTTGTGATATGCGATAATTACATTTTTCTGAGGTTTGATAAGTTGGAAAAAAAAAAACACAAGGAGTGCTGCATTATACAAACAAAAACTATGAACACAGTGATTTTTATTCAACAATTCCTGTACTACACTGCTCTAAATCCAGTCATACACAATTAAACATAATTTATCAACAAGAAGTATTGTAATTTTGCCCTCCTCTACTTTGATTAGTTGCTGATTGAAATCTTCAGATTTTTTTTCTCCAGATGACTCCGATATCTTATACTGATTATACGTGACACAAAATCCATGTGCCAAATTTCCATTCCATGAACACAGCAACTTGTCTTCACCAGTAAGGAAGTTTTACTGACAAAGATATGTTGCAAACATTGAAGTTGCTTGTGTGGTTTCATCAGCTAAAACATTCAACACCATGCAGCTTATTAGACAGTAATATGTGTTGCATGAAAGGCTAGCAAGGCTTGGGCCTCTAGCAAACTGAATCTTGCTTAGCTGTCAATAGCAAATCAATATCATCAAAAATCGAGACTTCTTTTTAAGTAAGAATCCACCCTTGCTGCATAGACATCAGGATTGTTAGGCTGACGTGCTTCTTTCTTTTTCAGTCTTCCAATTAAATATCTTGTTGAGCATTTTATTTGTTTAGAAATATGGGTTATTATTAAGGATGCACTGATATAGGAATTGTGGGCTGACGCCGGTATCAAATATTTTTCATGCATATATCTGTCAAGGTGGATGCCAATATATAAACATTTAAAACGTAGAATTTTTGACTACATTTACTTGTATTGACATTATGGTCAATTAAAACATATATTTCTATTATAAACGCAATAAAATGAACAAAATGCAGATATTTTACTATTGAAATCCAGAGTTACCTAAATATTCTGCTTTTCCAAACTACAATAAATTCGCAGCGTATAGATTCACATATTGGAAAAAGTAAAGCAGAAAATATAATTCTATAATATGTCCACAGGCCACAATTTGTTATGTATTAATTATGTTATATATTAAGTTCAACAAATAAACAGTGATTATGCATTAAAATGTGCAGCAGTGTGTTCTCTGTAGAGGATGTGTACTTATTTTCACTTAGCAAAACAACAAAACATGTAATCTGACCCCCATATGTATATGACTGTATCAGCTGATACTGATATGATTCTGATGTCATCATGTGTCCTGGTCATAATAAGGACATACCCTTTGGTTTTATCTTTAAAAGGCTGATTCTAAAGACTTGTTATTGCCAGTCAGCATTGGGACCTCCCTATTTTGTCGAGTTAAATGACTGGTGTAAGTATGGCAGCAGCCCACTTCATGTCCTGTGAGGATCCCAAAGAGGTTCAGACAGGCTGGGGTCGCCCCCCTCTGTGCGTTGCCCTAAATGCACCCCCTTGTTAGCGGCCTTTAAAGCCGCCTTGTCTCGGGTTCCGCCTGCTCGCTTTTTGAAGGCGCGCATTAGCATGTGCTGAGCGCCGCGGCGGGGAGATAGCGCAGTGACAGGGAAAAGATGCTTTGATTTAAGATTTGCATGTGAATGAATGTGACACAGGAACAGGATGTAGGAGGCGAGCTTTTGGAGGGAGGACGTTTTCTACTGCTACACCTGACCTGCTGTAGCCACGCTACTATGCTGCTGGCTCACTGCCAAGCCCACTGAGCGAGCAGGAGGTTTTCTTCCAAAGTGAAGCCCACAGGCAGGAGCTGCAGTGCTGAAGGGAATGAAGGGGATGGAGGAGAATAGAAGGAGGAAGCTCCCTTTTCTCCTCCCCCCTGTGCTCCTTTATTCATTCGTACTCTGCGAGCGGAAGAGGGGTCATTTAATCCAGAACAGAGAAGTGATTCATCCCGGCTCTGTGTCTCTGCTTCTGCTGTTGCTGCCTGCCGTTAGAGTGTGTGTGCGTGTTAGCAAAGGTGTGTGTCATCATGAGGACGTGACCCTGTTTGATTTGGGTGTGAAAGCACGTATTTCGAAAGGGTGGTTGTTTTAATATTACACTGCCTGTGAAAAAGTGGTCTAAAGTTAGGATAAAAAAAAAAAATGTTTTAAATGTTTTAGTATAAATAAGCATCTTTTCATTATTAGTTTGCAATAATTGAACATATTAAACGTTAACCAGGTTTATGTTGAGGGAAACTGTATCACACTGTTTGTGGCACTATTTGTGACCATACTGCTTTGGGAATAATCGCACAAATTTTATCCCCTTTTTGTGCTCTCAGCAGCGCTCAAACCTTTCAGCTGTTTAAACCTCTGAGCCAAAAGATGTTTAGTATCTGTTTTTAACCATAGTTTGGAAAACAAAACTAACAAATCAAATGTAAGCAAAACCTTCTCTTGAACTCAATGGAAGACACTTTAAAGAAAATCAAGCATGAGCAAAAACGAGAAAGTTCATAATTTTTGATAAGCGTTATGTTTTCTCTTAAGTTAGTGGGCTCATTTGTTTCACACACGTAGTCCGACTTCTTCATGCAGGGTTGCAAATTACAATGACATGAAGCAGCGGTGAGCAGTATTCCAGTAACCGGTCACTGTAAAGCTTGGCCAGCTGCACATTTCATTAAAAAAGATTTAACAGGGCCTCACAAGCAGCTTAGATGTATAAAGTTTCACCCTATGGAGAAAATTGTTTATATCGATACCAGGAGTTCAAGAAAGTATAATTTGCCCTGCTCAATTGGATGTTGCGTGGCACAGAATATACTATTAATATGCAATGTGGCACAACTGGTGCATTGTGTCTGGGTCTAAAAGACGCAGTATTGCGTCATGCATTGTTTATCTTGAAAAAGTCATATCGGACATGTGGAGGTAGGAGGTATACTGGTATAAAAGTGCTGCTTGTCACTTGTGAAGCGTTTTGAAGACTTTCCCTTTGCAGGCCGCACTGTCTGTTGTTCACGCTGGTTATTACTTTGTGATGGTTCCCATTTTTGCTGTTTAGAACTGAGGATGCTACTAGAGAGGAAAATTCTCAGTTGCAAACGGTCTTAGTGTTTTATTTATTTTTTTAAAGACTGTACCTTGTGTTATTTTTTTTTTTTTATACAACAGGTAGTTCCGGCCACGCAAGTTGATTGATTGAGAAGCGTTTTAACTGTGCTGTTATTTCTCCATAACATCACGTTTTTTTCATGAATACTGTATCACTCCGCTGAGATGCCGTTGCTAAGTAACGACTTTGACAGCTGTAGGAGACACTCAAGCCATTTGAACGTTTTTACTTCTTACTTTGCACACAAACAGAAAATGCATACTTTTAGGATCGCATTTGACTGACAGCTGATTCAGACTCTGAAGATGAGACTACACTAAATTCTGAAACTGTCATCACCACTTTTCAGTCGGCAGCTGTGACAGAAGAACACCTAAACAACCTGGAATTAGCCAGAAATGAACCGAATACCATTCGCCAAACAAAGTGGGCTGTAAAATGCTTTACAGTCTAGCTGGAACAAAACAACAAAAACATTGATTTAGCAAAAATTTACGAAACTGAGCTAAACTTGATATTGCGGCAGTTTTATGGCTCAGTCCGATTTGGTCAGACTCTGAAGATGAGACTACACGTTTGGCGAATGGTATTCGGTTAATTTCTGGCTAATTCCAGGTTGTTTAAGTGTTCTTCTGTCACAGCTGCTGACTGAAAAGCTTGCTCAGTGGTAATAACAGTTTCAGAATTTACTATAAGGAGCTGGAGAACGAACTGCCGGCTGTGCAGCTAGTGAGCGGAGTTCGTTACTCTGATGTAGCAAAAAGCTGCTTGTCAAGGAACTATAATTTGGCGGAAGGATTTGCTAACATTAAAACATATTAAATGCCACGTTCACTGCCCAATTTATTACTTTCTTACTTTATTTATTTAACTGTTGTATAAAAGCAGTAGAACACTCGAGGTTGTGAGTTATCACACATAACCTCATGCCTTCGGCTTGTGCCTGCGGCCGGGATGTTATTTTGCGATAGCACACTCCCTCTCATGTTCTCTTGCTTAAGTTTAACTTGGAAGGGCTTATAAGAATTGCTATAATATAATAATAATAATAATAATAAAAGTAATTTGGGTTAATTTCACCCCCATTCCTATTATGAAGTTGTTCACAAGGCTAACAGCCTCACAAAGCAGCTACGTGATATTTGCCATGATGTTTTAGACACTGACCAAGACGTCTAGCGTATCTCTCCCTAAAACCCCCAAAGAAAACTTGCTTTAATCGTCTTGGCACTCTGTAATTTGATCACTTCAGAGTGTGAAGAACTCTTAGTTTGTATAGATTTTCATTATTGTTTTCGCTCTTCATTTCCTCAGTGTGTGTCTGCACTGGTGCAGCCGCTTGGTGTGTGTGCAGAGTACCTCAACTCCAGCCTGGTCCAGGTTAGTGTCCATTTGTCCATGTCAACAAATACATCATACATCCATACATCTATTCACTTATTGTTCTTTATCCGCAGGAACTAGAAGCATCATCTCCACCATGTTGATAGATATCTAATTCATTTTTTATGCGCATGCCTGAAAATACAAAATTCCTTGTGGCAATAAAAAGCAACAGATGTTGGATGAGTCAGCTGTGCATCATTAGGCTTTTGAGAGAAATAGACTGCATAAGTAAAAGGAGAATATTAATAAATCGTAGACACATTATAGACACTATAGAAAAAGTGCAGTGAGGCTGAAAATGTTTATTTAAATGATGTAGGATTACATAAATTCAGCTTAAGTTTGTCTTGCAGCCCATGCTGGACCCGGTCATCCACAAGATGATCACGTATGTGCAGAATCTTGAAGAGAAAGACTTGAAGGACAAGGTACAGATATACATATACAGTGCTTTAGATTTTTCCCCTTATTTTAATTTTTAAGTCATCCCTTTATTGCCATTTATAAGTGTATAAACTCGAATACACCTATGAAACAAAGGTTTTGGACTGATTTGTTTGAAGTCTTTCAATGTTTAGTCCTCTATCTCTCATTTCACAGAGGTTAGTGAGCATTCCAGACCTACTGTCCGCTATTAAGCTGCTCTGCATGAGGTTCCAGCAGGAGCTGGTGAACGTGGTGGACGACCTCAGGCTGGACATCCTCCTGCGGATGCTCAAGACCCCTCACTTTAGCGCCAAGATGAACTCCCTCAAAGAGGTCAGATTGTTAGCATGCAGTTTCTGTGCTGTACATAGCATGTCTGATTTATGGTTTTAACCCAACACGGCATGGATGTCTGCTATGCTCTGTTCTAGGTGACAAAGTTGATAGAGGAGAGCACAGTCTCCAAGACAGTGAAGAATGCTATAGACACTGACAGGCTGCTGGACTGGCTGGTGGAAAACTCAGTCCTCTCGATAGCACTGGAAGGTAAGCAGCTCTGTCCTGTTCACATGGGCCAGAAATTGTAGAATTAAGCTCTTATTCACCAGAGTATATTTTGGTTTTTCCATCTGAATTTACATGACCAAATCATAATGCAAATTATTCAGTAACTGCATGAAATAAATGTACATTTTTATTTTATTTATTTATTTATATGTAAAAGTTCCCAGTCAGTTTAACAGAAAATGTGTTTTATGATCATACACACTTTGCTATATGCTTACAATTTACTGCTGAAAGCCAAAAATCTTAGACGCTCTTTGTATTTTTTTGTAAAAATAATTTTTACAGAGCAGATCACTGTAGAGACACCATCTGTTTATAGTTTATAGCCCAGATTTGTGGAAAAATAGGTTAACTTTCAGTAGACAAAAAAATTGTGAGTTCAGCTTCTTTTATTATAAAGTTTAAAAATTACATTACCCATCTATTTGACTGAAAAGAAGACAGTTAGAGCTCTCATATGACACCCACCTTTTGAATGTAGCTTATGAAATATGAAAGTTATGAAGATTATGACAAAGTGCGTTTTGGAACCACCGGTGGTCTCAAGGAGTTAAAAAGGTTACAAATCAGTAAATTGTCTGTGAAGTATCCAAATGCAATGTGACCTTAAGATGCTCACACTTCAGTTTTTTTTACCCGCAAATGCTTGTCAGTTTGTCATGTGACTCACAGAAAAAGAATGACTTGGGCTATTCAGAGTTTAATAGGCTGCATCCAGGCATAGCAAAAATTACGTTATAAGACAGTTTTCCGGTTCTGCAGTCTGATTGGCTGAGCCACATTCAAAAGCCAGCGTACAATATTTGATATATAGAAGTGGTGACCCATGACTGTAAGTACTGGACCATGAAGGATAAAACAGTTAGAAACCAATGATAATGCAATTTCTGCTAGCACCCCTATGAGTCAAATCAAATCCAAACATCACTGGTTAATTCCAGTGTCAGTTTCTAATTGCTGTTGATAGTGATTCTAACATGCTCCTAAAATCCTAATGCTGCCTTCACATGTGCAGCAGACAGACGACGGCATGTCAGATATTCCATTGTTTTCAGTGAAGCCGCACGTGACGGCGTTCCTCAGACCTGTGCGGTAAGCGGAGCGATCCGTCAAGAGTTGAATTTTCCCAACTTTTTCCGTCGACTGCAGCAGTGTAATAAACCAGATGTTTTGTTGGGAGCCATGGATGCTAAAGTATTGTTATTGAAGTCCAGACAAGCCCAGTATTATACACAACGCAAAAAAGTACGAAGCGTCCTCCAGCCTTTTTCCACCTTAAATGAGCAATCTACACTGCTAAAGCTCTCTTCTGTTAATCATCCATTTATGCCACCAACACTGTCACCCTGGCAACATTGGCACGACTTCATGCCGCCGGCAGCCACGCAGCACTATGAGGTGCGGAATTAAGTTTTCAACACAATGCATGCGAACGCAGCATAACCAGTGGGAGAGGTGGCTTGACTGTGTCTTTTAAACATTTGTTTCCAACCAAAATTTAACAATGCATAAGTATTATTACAGTACTTGCAAAAATAAGTTTGCAGAAATAATTAGGTGTTCTTTAAAGGTCTAGAAGGTCCTGATTGTTCCCCTCTGATTTAGATACATAAAACTGCCTGTATCAGTTAAATTCTGTATTAGGGTGCGTTGTTATTTAAAACAATTGTGCGGAGTTAAATTATTTATTGTTGTATTTTGTTACAGTATATTGTATTCTGCTGTGTGCCATGCCTAACACCCCTTAACCATGGTTAAATCAAGCACAACCTTGAGTGGTCTGTTGCTTTATTAAATGCTTTTGCTTTATTGATGTAGGTTTGTTAAAGCAGTTATTATCTAGAATCTTAACATTTTAGATTGTGGAGAGCTTGGGGTGTAAGTGTGAATGGTGTGATCACACTCTGCTCTCACATGCCAAGAGATGTCTCTGTCTGTTGTCTTACTTCATGGACAGATGGACACCCCAGTATGGCTTTGTTGTTATTTTGTGCCTGAAATTACCTGCCCTTTAGCTTGGGTTCCACTTGTTACATCCTTATTTTCTGCTCTCACTGTAATATTCTCTGTTCACTCTTGTGTGTTGTCTCCTTCACACTCTGTCAACTATCTGTGCTTTCTCACTTTATTTTGTGTCCCACTCCTCACTTTCACTTTGGAGCCTCTTTCACTTTGCCGTCTTCTTTCCCTTTTACTTATACCTCCTTACTTTTGCTTTCACTTTGTTACTTTCTCTTTCTCTTACTGCCACACTTTCAGTCGCCAATATCCTGGATGTCTCCAGTGCGCCTGTCCTTACCCTTTTTCCCCTCACATTTGTCCTATTTCTGGAAATCTGGAATCATATGGGTACACTTTTAGATTTAGACTTTTAGACTCTAGAAATCTGTAGGAAATTTTAGTACTGAGCTCTTTTGCTTTTGATATTTAACAAACATATTAGAGGGCTAGCTTGTAGGGTGTTAGAACAACTTGACTTCAGATACATCAAGAATTAAAAAACATTACTGAACATTAATAAAACTGGCCTCATTCTGCCCTGTTTGCATTCATTGGAGTCTTCCTTTGGGGTCTTAATAAAGCTGTACATGTTTTGCAAAATATCTGGTGCCATAGATCTCTCTCTCTCTCTCTCTCTCTCTCTCTCTCTCTCTCTCTCTCTCTCTCTCTCTCTCTCTCTCTCTCTCTCTCTCTCTCTCTCTCTCTCTCTCTCTGTAATGTTATTATAGGGAATATTGACCAGGCGCAGTACTGTGATAGGATAAAGGGAATCATTGAGCTGTTGGGCAGTAAACTCTCACTGGACGAACTCTCCAAAATTTGGAGAATACAAGTGAGTCAGTCATCTTATTTTCCTCTCTTCTTACCCTGAAGTTGTTTAGTGCTGGGAGAGTTGTTCTCTCTGACACTGTGCAAGGTTATGTGTTCATAAGTTGTATAAACCTACGTATTTAAACTTACTTATATAATGTACATTTAAATACAGTTGTATGTGTTCTGTTGATATGCTGTAGATGTTTCTTTGAGAAGCCATCTGTAGTTGTATAGTGTATTAGACCCTCTCTGACTCCTCTCTTTTTTTTCTGCTCTCTGTCCAGTCTGGCCAGTCGTCAACAGTCATAGAGAACATACACACCATCATCGCCGCCGCGGCTGTCAAGTTCAATTTTGAGCAGCTTAGCCACCTCTTTGTCCTCATACAGAAAGTAAGACTCAAGGCTTGACTTGATGCTGTCATTTCATTAAACATTCCCCTTATCGTTTCTTTGTTATGTCTTTTTTAGTTTCTTTTTGTTGGCATTATATAATCCACTACATTGATTAAAAAATATCGATGTGGATTTACTTGAAAGAGTAGATGTCAGTACACTCTGTACACATGGAGCAATGTGACCTCTGTCATTTCATCATAAGAAGAAATCATTTGTGTCACAGAAAGAACTTTGAATCACAGCAAAAATCACAGCGTGTTCAAGATGCAAAGCAGTGGTAACGTTTCACAGGGGCATGACAATGAAACACAAACAAAATCCAAAGCACCCAAGTTTAAACGTGTTTTCTGCTCCTGCTGAATGTGTGAAACTAACTAGCGTAAGTGGCTAATGTCAGCAAAGGTAATGTCAGACTACATGTTGGAAAACATTTCCTTCGTCACACAGAGGATAAAAATGCACACAGGATGATGCTAAATCTGTAATGTGTCAGTTCTTCATGCCAGCCTTAAACATAGAACTGTTTAATGCAGAAAATGTTAGCCAAGGAGGTATGATGTCACATGAGCAGACATGACCTACTCAGAGAACAGAAAAGGTAATAAGTTAAAAAAAAAAAGAAAAAGTCAGTACATGAAAATTTATGAAATACTATGACTGTTTTATATTAGATGTATTTTATGAACTGCTTGGAGATATTGGAGAAACGTAATATTTCTTGCATTTGATCATGCTTTTGATTGAGCAGGTAACCTATTTCTGACATTTGTACATTTTGAGATCGGGCAAGAATTTCAACTGGACTACAAAGGAATGCAGCTTAATATTTGGAATTATGAATTTTCAAATTTAGGTTTCTGTATTATTATTTCTCCCTAAAACAGAAACATAAATTGTTAGATTAATAAAAAAAAATTTGATTATGGATTAAAGAAGTAATCATTTGTTGCAGCCCTACATATGACTAAATTCCGATAGTAATTGTAGACAAATTGTAGTAACTGTAGAAACGTAGTTGTCAGTATGCCATTTCTGCTTACTTTAATTCATTAATGCACATATTTATTGATTGATTATATTATTATGTTCTGTAGAGCTGGGAGGTTGAAAGTGATCGAGTCAGACAGAAGCTATTGAGTCTTATCGGGAGGATTGGTAGAGAGGCTCGCTCAGAAGCAACAACAGGAAAGGTATGCATTTATGTGTGTGCTGCACAGTTCACTGTAAAATAAATTGGTTAAATAAAGGTAATAATCATAAAAACTACTACTAACTCATTGTTATTTGTTTACTCCTGAAAAATAGGTCTGATATGGCAAATCATTATGCTCACCACCATCAAAGCTTTATTGGTGATGTATTATGTGATTTTTGCCTGTTGATTGACTGGTTCTCAGGTGTTGGAGGTGCTGTGGGACTTGGCCCATCTCCCCACTCTCCCCACCACTCTGGTCCAGCAGGCTCTGGAAGAGCACCTGACCATCCTGAGCGATGCCTACGCTGTCAAGGAAACTGTCAAGAGAAACTACATAATTAAGTGCATTGAGGACATTAAGAAGGTGAGCTATGGCCAACCAAGGTTTTCACACTGAGAAATTTACTAGCTTATGTTTCCCAGTAGCCCTGTTCCAAAAGGTTTAGGATTGTGAGTAGAGCTTTTTGGATGGCTGTTAACTAATTTGACCGTTAACTCATTCAAATAATGTTGAGATGTTGACCTAATAGTATTTACTGTTTTCACCCTGATCCTGTTCTGTTGTAAGTCTAAACTTTGATTTGCTGTTATGAGTTATTTGTTGTTTGCTGCTGCTGGCTTGCTGCTGGTGAACATGAGCTGATAAAGTGAAAAGTCTTTCACTCTTTCAGACATACCCTTTGTTTTCCTCTTGCTTTTTCGCTCTTTTACTTACTTTGCAGTGAGCTGCAAAGTAACTTGCAACAGCAGACAGAAAGCAGAGTCCCCAACGCAACGACTAGTATCCTGCAGTGAGCTAAGAGCTATATTAAGAGCTGAGCTGGGTGTTCAAAGGTGTCATTCTATCTCTGATGCCAGACAGATATTTGGCCAGTCGCTTACCCTCCCACATACACACACTCACACACTCACACTTGCATACTCCTTCCCGCTCCCATTCTGTGCTTCAGGCTCTATTCCAAGGTGATTTGGTTGCTGCTAACTCACGGATACTAAAGATTCATTAACGATTAGTCGAGCTGACTGAATGCAACTGCAGTTTATGTCTTTAGATACAAATACAGGAGGAATCAAAGTCTACCAGCGAGACACAGGTCTCTTTTTTTACTGGCTCCTGGGGAAGGAAGAAACCAAGCTCATGGGCTAAAGTAAGAGAAGCACTCGGGCCTACAAAGACCCTCCCCTTATGTTTAACACTGACCAATCACAACTCACCTTCAATCTCATGGCAGCCTATCACAGCCCAAGCAGATGGGGTTTGGTTACAACGAGGGGAATAAAATTTGTGAAATGATGATTCTGAGTTGATTCTTGGGGAAGCTGTGCAACTTGTATGCAATATCTTTGATTTAAATATGCACATTCAGAGCCCGTTGAATGTCAGATGTACAGTATTTGATAGGTTTCAATAAGTCCTTTCTCAGCACTAGGCTGTGAGTGTGTTCATTTAAAATCAAAAGTTTATTGAGTCTCTGGGCATTTGTTAGAGTTGGGCGATTTAACACATCGATGTTATTATTTATAAGGCATATTTTAAATAGTTTCATGTTGCTTGAACACTCCATAGCCATTAACACTGCACTCCATTGTACTTACTCCCATTCCATGGCTGATAGCTGTACAAACATTCAAGTTCTAGTGTTTGCACAGAAGTTTATTTCATTGTAGTATGGATGTATATCATAATACATTTATCACTTAAAAATATACTGAGGTTTAATTTTTATGCTGTATCGCCCACCCCTAACACTGGTAATGTTGGAAATACACACATAGATGTTCTAAAAAAAAACTTTCCTTGTATGTATTCAGTTTGAAATAAATGTTTGAAATTCAGTTTTTATTCCACAGTTCTTCATAATAATTAGTAATGCACCAATCTGATATACTGGACCAATAAAGGCACCAACACTGACCTTATTAAATGGGTCGAGTATCATTCAGACATGTAGGGCTTTTTTATTCTATTGTGGTTTATTCCAGCTTCATGAGCAAATAACTATTTCAAACTTTTGCATTTATATCAATTTAATGTCAGCTAAACGATTAAAGCTGTCAGATCTTTGTGGGTGATTTTGAGATCATAAAGTGATAGTTAAGAGGTGATATGTGAGTTACTGGTTCAGTGTACCTGGTTTTAAAAATCCTTAATATGTAATACAATCATAAAAAAATATACAATATAACATGCTTTGGAATGAATTGTTCACTTATGATCACATCGTATAAGTACAGCTTTTAAACTGCAGATTATCAGATTGGTGCTCTGTGTTAGTAAATATCCTGAGTATCCTGGTATCAGGAGAGAAAAAGTCAGATTGGTGCATCCCTAATAATAATTCTGTTTTACCTCAATGTTAGAATTTACAACAGTTATGACTTTAAGGTGTAATGAACTTGATTCACTGTTTCCTGTGCATATATGTGTTATAGTCATCCCAGCTGAGTAACCCTCAAGCAGTATGGGTTGTTCCTGCCCTACGACAGCTCCATGAAATCACTCGTTCCTTCATCAAACAGACCTACCAGAAACAAGACAAGGTAATACACACAGACGTGCACTCGAGGCCATGAGCACTTGAGTCTGGTATGTAATCTCAAACTGTGCCTGTTTAATTAATGGACACAGATGTAATTTCTCTATTTGTTTGTCTTTCTCAGAGCATAATCCAGGACCTGAAGAAGAACTTTGAGATAGTGAAGCTAATCACAGGTTCTCTAGTGTCATGTCATCGTCTAGCTGTATCAGTTGCTGGCTCCAATGGCCTGTCTGGGTCCACTCTGGTAGATGGCCGATACTCTTATCAAGAGGTAAAAAAATGGGTGACATTTTATTCTTTTAGTTGTTCCAATTCAGTTTAACCATTAGGATTTATTAAAGCAATAAGCCATGACAGGCTGCCCATCACTGCGATTTTATCTTGAGTAAGGGTGTTCTTAGGCATGACGCGAATCGAATTTTATAATCGTAGTAACACACAACATAAAATAGAATAAAACACAAATGTTTCAGAAAATCAACTTAAACAAGTATTTTGCCAAGAAATATAGTTCTTTAGAGTATGATATCATTGCCAAGCAACCATGGACTGCTGAATTACTGTATATTGCCATCATTTCATGATCTTTAACTTTTGTCATATAATAGTGAACATAACATAACATAGCCCTGTTTAATGCAAAAACCATTGTTTAATACATACTTTTTGGTGACCACATTACCACTGCCAATCTTACATAGCACAAATCCAGTGATGCCCATCTTACCATGCTAGGGCTGAATCTCAAACAACTCCCTGCTCCCTATGTAGGAATTCAAATACTGGCTCCTGCACCACAACAGTGCCTAATATAGCTAAACGATAGTCATTTGGGATTCAGTTTCATCCATACTTGAGTCATCAGCACCTCAGTTTAAACTGGGTCCTACTTCATCAGTTTGCTTGGTGGTCCATGCAAACAGCATTAGAGTCAAAGATTAATTCATTAACAGCACAAGGATTTTTTTTATGGCACAGTAATACAGAATTTAGTTGTTGTGAAGTGGTTAGAGGTCTGCAGATATCATCTGTTTTACAACAGCTTCGAACACGGATTAGCCAGTCAGATTTTAGGACCGGAATGAATCAGTTTAATAAAAATGTATTTAGCTTAATTAATAATTAGCTTATCAAGAGTGTCATTATTTTTATACTAATGATTTTAAGCAAGACAAAGCATATTTATTTACATAGTACTTTTCATACACTGTGGTCATTCAAAGTGTTTTTTAAATAAGAAAATATAGAGATATTTATTTATTTATTTATTTATTTATTTATTTATTTATTCATTCATTCATTCATTCAAATTATTCACCCCTGCGGAACCTCTATATCTTTACAGTATTTGGAAGGGCATCTGAAGTTTTTAGCGTTCTTTCTACAAGAGGCCAGTCTGTACTTGGTGTGGAACAGAGCTAAAGAGATCTGGGAGTGCCTGGTGTCTGGCATGGATGTATGCGAGCTGGACAGAGAGGTACAGCACCAACATATATATATATATATATATATATATATATATATATATTTTTTTTTTTAAAAAGTCTAATTCAGATGGATTACTGGTGTACCCTTTTTTTCAGTATGAAGGGGCTGTTGAATGTGATGTAGTAATCGTCTAGTTTCCTCCTCTCTGTAGATGTGTTTTGAGTGGTTCACTAAAGGGCAGCATGATCTCGAGAGTGATGTTCAGCAGCAGCTCTTCAAAGAGAAGATCCTCAAACTTGAGCCTTATGAGATTACAATGAACGGTATGATTTGTAATCCCAGCATTTACACATTATTGCCTCAGACCATCACAAATGATCTCAATGATACACACACAGCTTGAGCTAAGCTTGTCTGTATTATGTGATTTTTCATTATATCATAACTTTACCTTATTGGTTGTCCCGATAATAATGGGCATCATACACCAATATCTTATAAAGTTTTTTCTTAAATTTGTTCTTGAGAAAGGCCCTGTTAAAAAGTCTACATCAGATTTATGACTATGTTCTTAAACTGCAGAATTGTTCACACCTTTTGTGCTCTTGAGTGTGTGTAGATTCTGTTCTTACCCAAGAACAAATCCCACATAAGAAAACACTGCGTAAGTGGGTTTTAGGAAGAAATTTCTTCTAAAGAACGGATGGTGAATGAGGCCCGTTGTGCTTTATCATCAGTGTTTAGATGCTTGTATTTCGTGCATTAAAATAATCATAATGTCTATATTTTCCTCCAGGGTTTAATCTTTTTAAGACTTTCTTTGAGAATGTGAATCTCTGTGACCATCGTCTCAAACGGCAGGGAACTCAACTGGTAAGAGAGCCATTTTTACACCAATTAGCATTTTCCCATGTCATTATGTATGTGACCCAAAGAGGGTAATGGAAGAGCATTTCTTTAAAATGAGATTTACACTTGCACTTTTGGAAAAAATAAGTGTAAATTTAGTTCCTTAAATTTCTCATTTCCAGAATGTGTCTTTTAGCTAAGGCTCTTTCTTAGAGACTTTGCGTTAATGAATTTGGTCATTCTTTCCTATTACGTGGGCAGTGTGTGGAGCGCTTGGACCTAATTGGGATGGACTTCATATGGAGAATCGCCATGGAGTCGCCTGATGAGGACATCGCCAACGAGGCCATTCAGCTTATCATCACCTACAGTTACATAAACCTCAACCCCAAAATGAAGAAGGTCTGTACACACGCACACACACACACACACACAGCACACACTCCCACAAGGTTTCTTTTCCTCTTTCTCTTTCAGTTCAGGTCTTAATAATGCAGTGCTTATGTTTTTCTCCCACCCAGGACTCAGTGTCTTTACATAAGAAGTTCATAGCTGATTGTTATAAGAGGTTGGAGGTAGGTATCAAAATCTAAGGCTGTGGCATGGATTTTTTTGTCTACTCTCTCTTTGGTCACACAACAGTATAACATCTCTTCCCTCTTTTTCAAGGCTGCCAGCTCGGCCTTGGGTGGCCCAACCTTGACACATGCTGTTACTCGAGCAACCAAGATGCTGACGGCCACTGCCATGCCTACAGTTGCCACATCAGTGCAATCACCTTCCAGGTAGATCAGTGCTTTAGGATTTGGTTGATATTGATCCAATATATTGGTGAGGGGCATTGATAGCTATTATTGTACTTTAACGTTTCCCCCACAGGTCTACAAAGTTGGTGATCATTGAGAGGCTCCTGTTATTGGCAGAGCGATATGTTATTACTATTGAGGTAGGTTAAGAATCTGATTTGCATGACTTTTTACAGATTTTGTCTTGCACACACATCTCGAGTGCACTTTATGTGGCACACATTCAAGCCTAGTGCACTGTAGAAGTCATTATATTGACTGTTTACTACAAATTGTTACTGGAGTGGTCACCTAAACAATGGCTGCACTCATAGCCAGAGACAGCTTGGAAAGTGGTCTTCACAATGTAGTCCTTCTTAGCATCTGGCTTGGCAATAGCAGCAGTGTTCTGAGCATGATCACTTGTGTGTTGTTTTTAGAAGCAGTATGTTTTCAGGGGATGAATTAACTTTCTGCAAGCTTAATAATTAGATGACAATATGAAGTATAGTATGGGTGTAATGATGGCTAAATCAGACTTGAGAATTAAAGAACTCGCACAGAAACAACTGCACATTACTAGGGCGGTCAATTGCGCCATTATAATTGATTACTCAATATTAAAAATAAGCGATTAAAATTTACGTTTTAAATGTACCTAGTATGTACAGTGGACTAAGTGAATCTATTTTGTTTGTTTGTTTTTTAGGATCTGTACTCTGTTCCTCGGACCATTCTACCTCATGGAGCTTCTTTCAATGGCCACCCTATGACGCTACACATAACCTACGAATCTACCAAAGACACTTTTACCCTGGAGGTACTCAAATTATAACACAACCAATGATCTGTGTGTAATATCTCTCTCAAACACACACACACGCACACACACTAAGAGCAGGCTTTAACCAGTACCTTACATGGTGCTGGTGCACACACCTCTGTGTCCATAAATGGAGAGGGAAACTGCATTGACAAATTGAAGGTGGACAAGGCATGAGTCACAGACACCCTGTTCTGTGTTACTGATTTATGCTGCACGTTTAGATTGACTGTCTTATACAAAAGAACACCAGAACCATACACAGAAACTTGTGTGTGTGTGTGTGTGTGTGTGTGTAGGCTCACAGCAACGAGACGATTGGAAGTATCAGATGGAAGATTGCAGAGCAACTCAGCTGTCCAGTGGACAATGTGCAGATATTTGCCAACGACAGCATGGTAAGACAGTCACACATACACACAGTGGTCGAGATAAGTCATTTCTTAGTCGGAGCTCCATGTGTTAACGATGCCCACGCAACAAAAGTAGACTGTCCATGTAAGCCAGTTTATTTTTATTATTTGAACCATACAAGTCAGAGCAATGAATAGTTTGTTCTATCACTGATCAGATGCTAGCAGGTGTACAAGGAAAAGTATTTAAAATATTAATAAAGAAAATTACTCAGTTTAAGACTGTTAAACACCGACCAAGAAACCCACACGGAAAAAAGTCATGTTTTATGTGCATAGTTTGTTTTTTTTTGTTTTTTTTTGTTTTTTTTTATTTCGACCTTTTTTTAGTTGTGTGAATTAGCAAACAGACAGTCTTGAAGCGCTAAAAGATATCATTTGCTCCTCACAAAATGGGCAAAAAGTGAAAATGGGTGAGCTACTTTCTATTCTTGAAAAACGAAAGGAACACAGAGTTTCGTTCCCTCATTCAGGAACTGAGAGTGTTTTTCATACATAGCTCAAAAGTCTGAAAATGAGCTGCTTTTGGAGATGTTAGCACACATGATAAAGCCAAGCACAGACTATGTTTGTCAAAAAGCTGCTGGGACACAGGTAATCTGTCATCTTGGTGGTTGCTGTGCCAACGCCAGAGACAGCAGTGATTGTTTGCATGTGTTCATGTTGCCTGTAAAAGTTCTTAAAAGTCATACAGAGGACGAATACAGTGTCACTTTTTTGCTGTCCAAAAAATCACATTTGAGGTGCAAGATGTTAGTTTGGATAAAAATCCTACATTATGCAAGATTTGGGAATTTGGAGACCTCTCTGGTGAAAATGTGTAATTGCACACAACATGCATTTTGTAAGAACTGTGCTTCAGACCGCTTCACTGAATGGGTTGTATTTAATGTTTGCAAGCGTGTCGAAGGAGTACACTTAGTGAAGGACATGTCCGCTGGGTGTAAAAGTGAATTATCTACAGTTGTCATCATATCTTCATCACTATACTGTTAATTTTGCATTTGAAACATAAACATCGAACTGGACCTTCTTTTTGAGCCTGTGTGTGTGATGTTAGTATGTAAGGATGCATGATAGGTTTGTAAAAACTCTCATGAAATATGACTCAACACACTTCTGACTTTTAAATTATTATTTCAGGCTTGACAGGGTGACTCTCAGCAGCACAAAGACAACATATTTTAGCATGTATTTTCCTTCTGACAGTTATGATACAGTTTTCATTTTTTAACAAAAAATACGCTGCAGCTTAAATTTATTGGCCTCTGAATAAATTGCACAAATTAATGTGCTCGATGTGTGAAGGCCTTACGGAAAATAAATTGTTTATGGAAAAACTGCTTGAGCAAATACTTTCAATTACTTTTTGTACGCCTATGATCACAGCACGAACATATTACCGGTAATGTATAAACACATCTAACCACATGGACATTACAACTGTAGGATCTAAGTACAGTATGTTCTGCTAGTGTGGATAAATTGTCTAGTGATCTGTTCTAACAATCACCATCCAACTAATCTGCGAATAAGCCCTTCCTGAGGTGAGGTGGGTGTGTTACAGCAGAGAGATCTGCAGGGTAATTCCCAGACTAAGCTTGAAAACCACTTCTCTTAACCACTTAATAATTTCACTATTTGTTGTTTGATTGCGGTCCTAATATGTGTTTTATTGTGTGTCTAGCTGACGATGAACCGGGATCAGAAGCTGTTGAACCAACTGGGTTTCTCTGATGAACAGAGTCTGACAGTGAAGAGTTCAGGGACAGGCACTCCTTCTGGCAGTTCTGCAGACAGCTCTGCCTCGGCCAGCTCCAGCAGCAGTGGAGTCTTCAACTCCGCATATGCACTGGAACAGGTACAGATACGCGCACACACACACACACACACACACACACACGCACAGAGTACACATTCTTACTTGCTCTGTCTGCACTTTTTTTCACCTATATGTCTAGAGAACAGATCGGAGCGCAGCACTCGTATACAAAATATACACAATTTTTATATATACGTATATAAAATACGTGTGTATATATATATATATATATATATATATATATATATATATATATATATATAAATTGTATATATTTTGTATACGAGTGCTGCGCTCCGATCTGTTCTCTAGACATGCCACCAGAAGCAGTATTTTTCATTCTTAATGTTATTTTAATGTTAAGTCATCATGAGGTCTTTTCACACAGATGATTTTTACAGATAAAAAGCAGATTTGATTTTTAACGCACTACAACTTTTGCTCTAATGCAATATTTATTAAAAAATCTGTAATCATTGAGTAGTAACAGTGACAGAATTATCATTTTTCTTTCAGCCAGTGTGACTCAGACACAGACACTGGGTAATAGCCCATTCTGCTAAAAAAAAACACTCACAGCTGAGCTGAGACTCTTCAAAGCTGTGTGTGATGGAGCTTGAGGCTCTTAAGCAGAGAAAAGGAGTGAAAAAAAACTTCAGGAGCAACCATGAGCTCTGATGTGAAAGATGGCATTAGCGTTAATGTATGTTTTCAAAATGTGTTTGTTCGGGTCTGTAAAACTCTTAAGTGTGAAAATGCCTTTAGTATTTTTATTATCAATGAAAACTGTCCAAGAAATATACTGAATATGTCAATGTAAAATACCCATAGTATCTAATTAAATTTATTCAATGAAAATATTCAGTACATGTTTGACAAAAACCAAAGACCGGCATGGTGTCATGATTTACAAAGTGATATCAGTGAAGATGATTGTAAATATAGTTGCCTGTACACTCATAATTTATCTATAAATGCATGTCTCAAATTGATTCAGAATAATTTGTTGATGAGACCTTATTTTACTCCAGAGAAATTGTGTAAAATGAACTCAGATATCCCGGATACAGGTGTAAAATGTGCAGGACAAAAGGGAATGTTATTTCATTGTGTATGGGATAATACAGAACTTTTGAAGACAAGTAATGGGAATTATTTCTAGGATTCTCTCTAAAGAAATACCCATCTGTCCAAAACTTTGTTTTCTCGGTCTGTACCCAGAGAGCTTATCACTTAAAAAACATGAAAGCAGAATGGTAGACCTCTGTCTAATACACGCTCAAAGCCTGATTAGCACACATTGGAAAAGTATGTATGCACCTTCACTGAAAGTTATCTTCATGTCTGTGAAGATTACATATAGAATTTGTTTCTGAAATTTTTGGAGGAAGTAGATATTGAGTCAGCACCTTAACATTCCACCTGTGAATATGTTGAATACAATTATTTATTTATTTATTTATTTATTTATTTATTTATTTATTCATTTATTCTATTATTATCAGCAACATCATTGTTATCATTGTTGTTTATTTTTTCTTCTATTATTTTTAATTTAAAAGTGAATCACGCTGTGTTCCATGACATTTGCATCTGTAAAGCATGGGACAGTTGTACATTTTGCAATAATGCCATTCTGAGCTGATGTTTTGTATTACAAGATGGCGGGAATTTTAGGGAAGGGGTGAGGTGTTCAAATGTAATTTGATTTGAATGTACAAATACTTTTTAATAAACATAAGTTTAAACAATATCCATCAATGAATGGTTCAAAAGAAAGAAATTGAGGGTTATGTAAGGGTGAAAGCCTAAATCCCATTTAGTCAAAATCCCATTGAAATGCTGTGGATACTATAAAACATTATCACCTGTCTGTAAAGCACTTTGAGCTGCCACTGGTATGAAAAGTGCTTTCTAAATTAAAATATTATTGTTATTATTGTCATTATTTGAAACAGGCTGTACACAAAAAAAACATTGCGCAGTTGAAAGGATTCTGCAAGGAAGAGTGGGCAGACATTTCTCCCAGTAGATGTCAGAAACTTGTAGACAGGGGTGTACTTACTTTGTCAACTGCCAAAAATGACATCTTAGTTAATTTTTCACTAATAAATGATTGCAAAGTCAAGTATCCATTGTTTTTCGTTCTGTTACATAATGTTTATCTACGCATTCTGTTTAACTGAAGATCAAATACTAGTATGTCCAAATATGTCAAAAAAGAGGTATACTTACTACTTCACATGACTATAACCCTACACCTGTGGATGTGAACATACAAATGCATGTCCTATCTCGTTCTGTTTCGCTCCCTTTCTCACTTCTTTTTCCGCCTATTTCTTTCTTTCTTTTTTTCTCACTCTGACTGTTATCTCAATTGCAGTGTTTTTGACCTCTACCCGTGTGCATGTGTGTGTTGTAGGAGAAGTCTCTGCCCGGTGTGGTGATGGCATTAGTGTGTAACGTGTTTGAAATGTTGTATCAATTGGCCAACCTGGAGGAGCCAAGGTAAGACTACAGCACCGGAATTAAGAAGTGTCATCAGAACCTTTATATACCTGTACAGCCGATTTGCAACATGCTGTTGGTAAAGAATTATCTTTCTTTTAATGAAGTATGTATGTGTGTGTGTTACAGGATAACACTGCGCGTTAGGAAGTTGTTGCTTCTCATCCCGACTGATCCAGAGGTGCAGGACGCCCTGGATAACTTTGTGCCAAAGGAGTCCAGCGTCTGGAGCCACCAGGTGCCAAAAGAGAACACTTCACAATTTTACATATACTCTGTCTACAGTTAGCACTGCGCTGAAGCCCCCCCTCATGGTAACTGGTGACGTGGAGGATGACTCACCGTGTAGACAAAGCCATGTGACTCACAGCACTTTTTGAAAGGCTCAGTTTGTTTATCACTTTGATAAATACCAGTATGTGAGAGAACAGCATGTGCCTAACACCCTACCCTTCTCTCTCTCTTGTGCTTGCTCTCTCTCTCTTTTTTTTCTCTCTCTCTCTCTTTCTCTGTATGTCTAGAAAACTCTGTTCACTTTGGGTTCTGGCTCTCAGGCCTCAAAGTCCCCATCACTGTCCAGCAAACAGCAGCATCAGCAGAGTGCAGCATCCATCCTGGAGTCATTGTTCCGCTCCTCTGCCCCGGGCATGTCCACCTTCAGAGTGCTCTACAATCTAGAGGTACGCACACACACACACACACACACACACACACACACACACACGCGTACACACACACGCGTACACCAGTTCTGAGCCAAATTTTTTGGGGAAGCACAATACCTTCCATTAGTCTGATCCATATCTTCATGCAAAAATGCAGACAAAGATAGCAGAAGCAAAGTACGCTTGGCATATTAGCTAGCTTAGTTTGCTAATGTTAATAGCAGTAAGGCTAAGCTACCTTAACTAGCCAGCACTTGCTCTTGCAAAAGATTCAAGAGGTTCCAGTATGAAGTATATACTATAGACACGTAATAAAAGTAGATTAAGCAGATGCAAAATTTAGATGATGCTTAAATGTTGGAGACAGGCTACTATTTAAAATTAGACAAACAAAACGCCCTTGAATATGAAATAACTAAGTTTAAAAAAGGCCCCTCCGCCTATACCGTGCCAATGTATTTAAAATGATTCAAAGCCTCCTAACAACAAAAATATTCAGAAATAATAGGCTACTGCACATTAATTGACAGTTGTTATCAATAAATGTAATGCATTTACATTTTAAAAGTAAGTTTGTGTGATGTTTTTTTTTTCTTTTTCTTCTTTGGTGAAGCACTGCTACTCATTTCTTAGACCTGATCCCATTTCACTCCTTGCCCCTACCACTTAGCCCTACCCCTCCGTTTTACACATTCACGCCTAGGGGTAGGGTGTCCTGATTCTTGTTGGTATAAAGGGGTAGTGATTACATGGCCCTTCAAATTGAGGTTTTTCAGAGGCACAATCCAAACAGAGTGTTATGAGAAACCTGCACACAAATCAATAAACACGTTACGTGTGCATCACAAACGGATTCTTTACAATATTAACGGAATCCGAAGTCGCTAACATTATATGCGCTAGCTAGCATGTTGTGTAGCTAGGCTAACTACAACAAAACATGTTTGCAATCTGTCCAAGATACCACAGACAAATCCACCAGCATTCCCAGGCTTTGAAGACATCTTCGTTTTCTATCATTTCTCTGATTTGCTGCAGACAGCCGCACAAGGATGTCTGTTGACCTATTGGAAATATCCAGTAAAACTCGTCACGTCTGTTTACATAAACGCCGTCAGTGACTACTAAAGATGTGTTGGGTTCTTCAAGGATTGTCCTATTTCGTAGGGGAAAATTTCAACCACTACCCCTCGTAACTCCGTTCCAAAGGACAGGGTGACACTCAAAAATAAGAAGTAGGGATAAAAATAAGAAATGGGATTGGTTCTTAGAGAATCATATGACATATATAGGCATATAACATAGTGTGTAACATGCTGAGTCTTTATTCTGCTCATTCGCACTGAACAACTCTTGTCACTGTTGTATAATCTAGATTGATACACACACACACACACACATACACACAAACACAAACACTAGAGTGCAATCAGACTGTCAAACACACACAGATATTTTTCTGTCATCCTATGACAGGTGTTGAGCTCCAAATTGATGCCCACTTCTGATGACGAGATGGCAAAGACCAGCGTCAAGTCTTTCTGTGAAAACTTCCTCAAAGCTGGAGGCCTCAGGTAACAGTCTGCTCTGCCTGACTCCTATAATAGTAGAAGTGTGGTCTGCATCACTGACTGTACTGCAGAAGGCAAAATGTGTTCCAAACAAAAAAAAATCTTACCTGAACCTATTCCTCACAATGAGTGTGTGTGTGTGTGTGTGTGTGTGTGTGTGTGTGTGTCCTCAGTCTGGTAGTTAACGTTATGCAGAGAGACTCCATCCCCTCTGAGGTGGACTATGAGACCAGACAGGGTGTCTACTCCATCTGTCTGCAACTTGCCAGGTATGTCTGTGTGTGTGTTTGTGTGTGTGTATGTGTCTCTCTCTCTCTCCCTCTCCATCTCCCTCTCCTTCTTTCTGTGTCTATCTCTTATTTATCTTCCTTTCTTTCTATGTTTCTAGATGTTTGTGCTTTCAGTGTTCAGTGAACTCTCTCCAGTAGTCTCACTGTCTGGCTCATGGTCTCCCCCTGCAGGTTTTTGCTGGTAGGACAGACTATGCCAAGCATCCTGGATGAGGAGCTGAGTAAGGAGGGTCTGGACACTCTGTCCTCGCGACCCTTCCGTAATGCGGGCAGGCAGAGTGGACGGCAGCTGTCCCTCTGTGGAACCCCAGAGAAATCCTCCTACAGGCAGATGTCTATGTCTGACAGGTCCTCCATTAGAGTGGAAGAGATCATACCGGCAGCACGAGTTGCCATTCAGGTGTGTGTTTGTGTGTGTGCACACGGCAGTGTGAAGTGGTAACTTCAACATAGATTTGCACTGATAGTTAAATAAATATTTCTGCAAAAAGAAAATAGTCTTTAGCTACCCCAAATGTGTTGGCTGTGAGGCTACTGTAGCTATGAGAAAATGGAAGCTTGTTCTTTGGAAATTAGCATAATGCCCACTGTATGCCTAAATCATCACACATTTGCCTTAGACATAATCTCAAATATGTGGCTATATGGTACATTTTATATAGGAAATGGAAAGACGTATGGACAAAATTCAGGCTTCAAAATTACTGCTGCTGCTGTTTTTAGATAGACAATGTACATTTGTCCTTTTCTGTAGATAACAGACTTGCTTATGTGGTTTCTGACACTGTATGACATACTCTTTGAGATTACATAACAACTTGATGCAGCCTGAGGCAAATATCTGATGATTTAGATATGCACTTTGCAAAATGTGTAGGATATAACTCTCATTGCTTGTTAGCTACATTAGTCTTGCTTCAGCGCAAAACTAAAGAAACTACTTTAGACATCAGACCTGTCTTGGCTGACCTACATTTGGGGTGGGGGAAAATTGTGCAAAAGTAGTTGACAAACTGTTAGCAAGAGCTTATACATATTTTACGAAACAGGAGAAATAAGCATCATCATTTGTGTTATTACATGCCAGTTAATCTGTTTTTTTCTGTGTTTTTTGTCTGTAGACAATGGAGGTGGGGGACTTCACTTCCACAGTGGCCTGCTTTATGCGGCTCACCTGGGCTGCTGCCGCCGGCCGATTGGACCTTGTGGGAAGCAGTCAGCCAATCAGAGAGAGCACTAATTCACTGCTGCCTCTGGGTGTCCGCAGCCGAGTCAGCAGCACAGGTGAACATATGTACACGTGACCTTGCATAATGTTGTTCTAATACACATACATACATTTAATACTCAGCAACTGATGATAGTAGTTATTAATATTGATAATAGTGGTGATTTGTTGATGATTCCCCTCTTTAATGGTAGACATTGAACCCCTAACTGTCTTAAATTCCTTGTCAGAAACACTAGAGAAAAAAATCACATTTCCATGTCCTGCGAATACCTCTATTGTAATTAACCGTGTTTGTGTGTTGCCCTCTATGGGTCACAGGCAGTAACTGCAGCTCCAGCAGTGAGGGAGAGGCCACCACTCTTCAGGCTGGTATCTGTGTCAAACAGCAGTGTGTGTCCATTAAAGACACCATCATCGCCCGAGAAGCGCTCTCTCTTCTGGTCACCTGCCTGCAGCTCCGCTGCCAGCAGCTCTGTAAGCACGCACACAAACATGCAGATACGTTCTCTCGATCGCTTAGAGATCTGCTACCAGACCAGAGTATGACAGGACCCAATGAAATATTGGGTTTTGCGCCAGATTTGGACTGATTTTTCACATATATGATCGATGCCAGGCTCAGGTTTGTTTTCTGCATGGTGTTTGTTTTACATGTATTCCAATTATAATATAAATATTGTACACTGCCACATATATTCACTTTTGCACGCTCTATCTCTCTGGTATAGTCTAGTAGAGTTTAGTTCCATAGCTAATAAGCTGCCCTGCCCCTTACTTGACTTCAATACGCCTGATCCAGCCTGATCAGGGACTTGGGAAGAGGTTGATTAACTGAAGCAGGTGTGGCAAATTGTGGTTGGAATGAAACTCTGCAGGAGGGTAGCTCTCCAGGACCAGGGTTTCAGACCACTGGGATAGTCCACCTCAGTGCATGCAATGGGGTTCAGGTCAGGGTCCAGTTTTAAGTTTAGCGGTTCCAGTCATGGGTACAGGTTTGGGCTCCAGGTTATGCTGTGCAGACCTCTACATACACTCTCTCATGCACACACTGCCTGGATAGGTCTGCACAAGTAAACAAAATGGTGCATTGCTAAATATTGTGATTCTGAAATTAATCACAAAATACTAAAATATATTGAAAGCACATGGTCAGAGAGTAGACAGTATTATTGTACAGCAACCATTACAATATAGTAATCGTTTAGAGGGCTCCTCTGCATAATTCAGTCTTCTTCAATATCAGTATTGCACATACCAGCATCACATTACTGATTAACAAAAGACTTGTGGTGCAGGCCTGCTCGAGAATCAGACACATTTATATGCTGCAGGATCATTTTCAAAATTGTTCCTCTGTGTCTCTGCAGCGTCTTTTTATAATCTGCCCTGTGTGAACGATTTCATTATCGACATCCTACTGGGATCACCCAGTGCAGAGGTCAGTGAGGTCTTTCATTTTTACATTTTGAAAGAGTTTTAAGTTGTGCAACTGTTAAAATAGGGTATTTAACTCAGCTTGGCCTTCTTTACTCTGACAGCTATTAATCTCACTTTTCACTCCCCCTCCACTCAAATACACACACAGATCCGGCGGGTGGCCTGTGATCAGCTGTACACTCTGAGTCAGAGTGATACGTCGGCGTACCCAGAGCTGCAGAAGCCCAACCTCTTTCTGCTGAAGGTGGTGCTGACCGCCCAGCTCCCTCTGTGGTCTCCTACCAGCGTCATGAGGGGCATCAACCAGAGGTCAAAGCAAAACATTCTGTTTGAGGAGCAAATGTACTGTTACTTACCATAATAACAAAACAGACATTTGTTAGAAATGTTAGCAACGGCCAGAGAGCTGATGGCTAAGATATAATAAGTGTAGTTGTGATTGATTTTGGCATTGCTGAAGTTTTACTGTTTGTATCTGTAGGTTGCTTTCGCAGTGCACAGAGTATTTTGACCTGCGATGCCAACTCCTGGATGACCTGACCAGTAAGAATGCTATTTCACAGTCAGTTTTTTTTTATCTGTTAAAACAATGATGGGAATTTAGAGCAGTGAGAAAGTAAAGATCTTGTTTTCAAGAGTTCACCATCTTATCAGCATGAAACATTCTACTTGATTTGAGTTTCAGTGTTCTGGTGAAGTTGCAAGTAGATTTTAGATTTCCCTCATCCACTATCTCTTTGTCTGTCTGCAGGCACAGAGATGGAGCAGCTGCAGATCAGCCCAGCAGTCATGTTGGAGGATGAGATCAGTTGGCTGGATAACTTTGAGCCCACGTGGACCAGCGAGTTGGAGACCAGCGAGGCCGACAATATACTGCAGGCCGGCCATCTGCGCCTCATTAAAACTCTGCTCTCCCTTTGTGGCAACGAGAAGGAGCAGTTTGGTTAGTCTGTTACGAAAATGTACTGAGGATTTGTACAAGTAGTCAAGTACTCAATTAACCGTTTAAGATGCTGTTGTTCAATACTAAAATCACTGTTCGGGTATTAATTGCGTTTTATCACAGGAAGTGAAAATACAATTTTCTCTTCACAATTTATGTTTTAACAGACTTATAAAATGTGTGAGTGTGTATACATTGTATTACACTGCAAGTATGAAATGTGAGTGCCTTAATGTGAGCTTGTTGCCAAGGGCAGAGCTTGTTGAGAGGGCACAGATCTGGTGCAGCAATTTAAAAAATTGTGCACCAACTGCATGTTGTCAGATGCATCTGATTGCTCATATGTTGTCTATGCTTTCGAATGCACATACTTATAGTCTTTTAGGTGGAAGTTGTAAACGCATTTTTGTTTTTGTCCAGGACCCTCTCTTATCCAGCAGCTGCTGGATGACTTCCTGTTTCGAGCATCACGCATTATCCTGAACAGCAATAACCCTTCCAGCACTACAGCTCCTCTCCACGACTTCCACCCAAAGTGAGTATACACAAACACCCCTTCCAAGCACGATTTTATGTACAGTACATATCTCACATAAACATAATTTTAAATCAAAATACATTTCACACTTATAATGTACATGTTCACTAACACATGCATTCTCTCTCTCTCTCTCTCTCACACACATTTTTTCTCAGGTGCAGTACAGTGAGCAGTCGGTTGGCAGCTTATGAGGTGTTGGTGATGCTGGCTGATAGCTCTCTCACCAACCTGCAGCTCATCACTCGAGAGCTGCTATCTATGCACCACCAGTCCGACCCCTCCCTCACTAAGGAATTTGATGTGAGTCTTTTTGCCTTTCTCTGTGTCTTGTTGTGTTTTTATTTAGGGAAGCTTCTCTTTTTATCTTCACCTTCTTGTTTTGCTTTATTTGGAACATACAAGAACTATTTCTGGTGCCTCACAAAGATATCTTGATAAATGCTGCACTGAAGCAAATGGCAATATGACAGTGTGACTATATGCACTATGAGTGACTTATGTGTTTGTGTTTGTTGGCCTCAGTACCTTCCTCCAGTGGACAGCCGCTCTGTGTCAGGGTTTGTGGGACTGAAGAATGGAGGAGCGACTTGCTACATGAATGCTGTTTTCCAACAACTCTACATGCAGCCTGGCTTACCTGAGGTAGGTGGTACAGCAGAAGAAAACCCTCCTCAGTTTTTGTTGTAATATGGCAGTTAGGGATGCACCAAGATGGGAATTTTGGACCGATGGTTATATTTCATATTTTTTATGAACATATCTGCCAATGACAGTAGATAACAGGGTTCAACAGTAATGATAGCCCCAATACCCGGGGCAAGTAAAACGCAACATCGGGACAGCAGCACGAAAAATTACTTGCCCGGTTGGACGATTTCATGTTGGGGTTGGGGGGTGGGGGGGGGGTGGGGCATGATGTGTTAACAGAACAGTGGAACTAAGGCCAAACTCAATTCAATTGAATATTTAACCCCTCACCATGCAAAAAAAGATCTTATCCATTCATGTGTCTGGTCAAAACAAACCAATGCATTATTTGTTGACAAACAATGTCAGAGCGAGGCGCGCAGGAAAAGTCGGCAAAGCACGAACACAAAGCGAAACCAGTCTGCAGCTTCATTCCTTCACAGAAAACTCTGTTTTCATGGGTTGATTTTGATCCTTCTGTATCTGAGATGTTCTGCAAAGTTTATAGGGAATATCCTAACAAGCAGATAAAAGTGGTCCTTTTTAGGACATTTTCACTCGATTGTCACGGCAAGTCTTTCACATTGCGTTTATAACAGTGAAAAAGACCCTAGTACATCTAGACCGCTGGACATGTGCATACAACACATGAACAGTGAAGCAGATTCCAAGTTGGGCAAGTTAGTGACAGCATATCACATGGTTAGAAGAGAAAAAATTATTAGCTTATTGTGTGTTCATTTATATTTGAATCATGCTTTAAAATACAAAGATTTGTTTGGGAAAGTAGAAATTTGGTTTGGGTCAGTGAATATCCTGGTTGCTTGTTGGAAAAAAGGTTTTTTTTCTTTTTAATTGAAATTCATCTATCACAGTATCATTGTGCATCCCTAATGACAATTTGCTGATTTTTGCCATGCAGATTTGGTCCATTTATAAATAGTACACTGACCTGAATTTTTGAAGATGTTTGAAGTTATTTATTTGTTTGTTTATCTTATTAAATTGTTGGTCGTGAACGACGATGTGTGGCCGTTTGGTTTGTGGTATGTGATCATCTTAGTATTCTTAGCCCTCTACTTCCACAAGATGGGGCTGAAGAAAAGTGTTGAAAAAATTACTGTGTTTGCTTGTTATTTGAAAGTGGAAAGTTATTTTGAAAGTAGGCACTGTTACAGGAATAGCCCAGCTCTAATAGCAGATGTCTAAAAGTGTTTCTTTCTGTGTGTATTAGTCTATCCTGTCTATAGAAGATGACACAGAGAACCCGGAGGAGAGTGTTTTCTGTCAGGTGCAGTCTCTATTTGGCCACCTGATGGAGAGCAAGCTGCAGTACTATGTACCTGAGAACTTCTGGAAGGTGAGTGTAATGTTTGGTCATTGAGCCAGTACACATTCTGTTCAGCTGACGCGTGTTAACACATAGCGTCCTACCTTACATAATATTGGAAGATGTTGTAATTGAGGGTTGCATGTGATGCTAAATATGACGTTTCTGTGCAGATCTTTAAGATGTGGAATAAGGAACTGTATGTGCGAGAGCAGCAGGATGCCTATGAGTTTTTCACCAGCCTGGTGGACCAGCTAGATGAGCATCTAAAGGTACACCATCACAACATTAACCACTGGTTTTCCAGACAGAGATTAAAGGTGTGCTCTTTTAGAACAAGAAGTGGCAGGCTTGACCGTTGTTTTGTGAAGAAGGTGATTTACAGGGCCTGAGAGATGTTACTTTTCAGATATATATAGCAATTGTAGATGCAACCAATATTCAGTAAACTAAAAAAGGTTTCTAAACATTTTCAACTGTGAAATCATAATGCTGCCATACATTGGGTCATGATGACTTAGAAATATATTTTGAGCTCTTAATACAGCTAAAAGGATTTGCTTTCAATATATCCTAATGTTCATGTGAATACATTGGCCTAAGAATCACAGGGTGTGGCTGGTTATACGCTGAATTACACTGGAGATTACATCGGAACTCCTGATGTAATGAGCATCTGGAAAGAAGGTCTTTCTGAGACATTTGTGTTAGGTGTCTTGGCTGTGTTCTTTATTTTAGAAATTTACCACTAAACTGTTTTTCTTTCATTCAGAAAATCGGAAGAGAGCAGATCTTTAAGAACACATTCCAGGGCATTTTCTCTGACCAGAAGATATGCAAAGACTGTCCACACAGGTCAGTTGTAACATATAAGAGAGCAGCCTTTCTTTGAATTACAGAATGCGTAAATATTGATTTCCTTTAGCTTTATCAGCATTTGTTTTAACTTGAAGGGAAATCCACTGAGTTTTTAAATTAACCCATGGTGTGCTGTTTGGGTCAGTGGGGCCCATTTTCAACCTCAGATTCCAGGCTTTTGCTCGTTTTCTGTGACGAACATATAAAATAACACATTTTCAATGACTTCACACTGTTCACCCCCCCACAATTTTTATATTACACATGTGGTGTTGGGGTGAACCCACTGGGAATGAACGTGTGGAGGTGCTGTGTCCCTTCACTCTGTTCTCCTCTTGCATGGCCTGCTGTTAGTCTGTGTGTCTGTGTGTTTTGATAATTTAAACATCTGGTGTTTTTACATAAATTGTTATGGTTGTATTGATTTAAAAAAAACAATGCGGTGGGTCCACCAGACCACTGAGTAATGAAAACATGAACACCACACCAGGGTTAAATGGTTGAGATGTAAACAGAGTCCATCAGAGTGGTTTGATGTAAAATAATTCATTGTAGAGAAACTTAATGACTCGGATTTCTTTACAGTAGTGATGACTGGAACCAGGGGTCCCGCTGCCCTGCAACACAAATCTAGCCATTTAATATACTATGCAAAACCACCGGTGTATCTACAGATGTCCTCTGAGTTTTTACATGTAACGTTGATTTTATATGTTACTGTTTTGCCGTACAGTAACCTGCATATACCCCTTATTGATGGATTTTAAAGTTGTATTTTAGGTCAAAATCTGATCTCAAATTATCGTAAAATAATGTCTCAGAAATCAGGCAACTTATTCATTACTCATTCATGTAATAACTTTCTCTGATGGAGCTTTTCGTAGTGAACATCTGGTTCCTCTCCGCACCACCTTGAACAGTTCTGACTCTGTAAAGAGCATTTCATATCAAACCACTCTGAATAACTTAGTTTACATCTTAAGCATTTAATTATGCAGAACAATCTGTGGAATTCCCCCGTAAGTGGCCCTGATTTATTTGCTTGATTGGGCTTAACTGCCTCTTGTGACTCTATGACTGTTATAAGCATTTACAGGGTTTCTCTTTTTGTCTCTCTCTGTCTCACTCTCATTCTCTCTCTCTCTCTCATTCTCTCTCTCTCGCTCTCTGGCGCTCTCTCTCTTGCTCTCTCCCTCTCTCTCTCCCCCCTCCCTCTCCCTCTCTCTCTTTCTGTCTGTGTCACAGGTATGAGCGTGAAGAAACCTTCATGGCACTGAACCTAGGGGTGACGTCGTGTCAGAGTCTGGAGATTTCTCTGGATCAGTTTGTCAGAGGAGAGGTGCTAGAAGGCAGCAATGCCTACTACTGTGAGAAATGCAAAGAGAAGGTGAAGATGTCAGTTTCACCCTAATTGAGACTGTGAGATGATTAGGTGAAATGATTAGGTTTTATGTGCTGCAGCTGAGGTATAGCTCTGTGTATTTTCAGTTAGCCATGGTGGAACACCGTAAATCCCAGTATATGTGCCTGACTAGCTGTGCTTATTTGTTGCATTGATTCATGTACTTTGTATGTTGAAGTCCAAAGGCTCATGTCTGTTAATAGTCAGTGTGTTTTCTGTTTTAGAGGACCACAGTGAAGCGCACGTGTATTAAATCATTGCCCAGTGTGTTGGTTATCCATCTCATGCGCTTTGGCTTTGATTGGGAGAGTGGACGCTCCATCAAATACGATGAACAGATCAGGGTAAGACCTTCACTCTTGGTCCTGGTAACTTGAAACGTGGCAAACAAATTACCTTAAAAACAGATCTCACATATTGTTGGGTATCTGGGTGACAGTGCCAAATAGTAATCACACTTCTGTTAAGTGATAAAAACGCTGTACGCTTTGTTATATATCTGTCCTGCTAGTTCCCATGGGTGCTGAACATGGAGCCGTACACAGTGTCCGGCATGGCTCGGCAGGACTCCAGTGCTGACCATGGTGAGAACGGCAGGGGCGGAGAGGCTGGGCCTGGAGGATCTCCTCGTAAGAAAGTCACAATCTCTGAAAACTATGAGCTGGTGGGAGTGGTGGTCCACAGTGGCCAGGCACACGCAGGGCACTACTACTCCTTCATCAAAGACCGCAGGCAAGTGTAGTTAGAGATTGATGGCTGACCTTACTGTGTGTGCACTAACTTTCAAAAGTTTGTATTTGCTTGTTATAATAATAATATCATTTTATTCAGTCGTAACAATATAGATTTAAATAGTAAAAAAACATCTACAGATCTACTGGCCCCATCACAACATCTAATAAGTATTTTGGTTGTTTTATTCAATATTTCAAATATTTTGAGAACAGAAAGAAGTAAATAAGTTGTAAACAGTCTCTAGTTGTCTGCATACAATAGTTTTAGAAAAAACAGGTCCATTTTGTTCCTAAAATATCTTATACAGCTTTCTGCTAAGTATTGATATATATGACATTGCAGAGTACTAGGATCAACTTTGAAGACATTTTATGCATGTATCTTTAATAGTTTTACATTATTGAAAAACTCTGATTCCAAATTATTGAACAGTAGCGTAGATACTGTATAAACCACTGCTAATTTTAAAAGGCTTCAGGTGGCCTTTATATTTAATATAGGAAAATAGTACCATAGCGACTTTCAATAAAGTACACAGCCCATGTATACCATGTGCTTTTACTTTACCGACAACCACATGTTAAATATTTGGCGCCTAGATCTGAGGTATATAGGGTGGTCTGTGTGTCTCCGTTTCTGTCCAGCACCTTTTACCAGTGGTTCTTGCATGGTCTGATGTCTTAAGCAGGTCCAGATGCCTGGCACAGCCATGCCCCTTTAAACTGGATCAGGCAACCAGGGAATGTGGGAATGCAGAAACAACCACACTGAGCTAACCCATGCTCTTCTTTTTCTGTCCTTCTCTTGTTTCTTCTTTAGGGGCAGTTCGCGAGGCCGGTGGTATAAGTTTAATGATAACGTTGTGGAGGAGTTTGACATGAACGACGAGACTCTAGAGTATGAATGCTTTGGAGGAGAATACAGACCCAAAGTTTATGATCAGTGTAAGTCACCCTCCCTCCTGATAGAGAGCTGAGCACACAGTGTCCAACTCAACGATGTAATTCCTACTGACGTTCATGTGTCTAACCACTAATATATGCAGATGATGTAATTAGCAACTAAAATACTTATTAACTGTATGGTGTCTTCTCTATAGCTAACCCCTATCCGGATGTGCGGAGACGCTACTGGAACGCCTACATGCTCTTCTACCAGCGCATCAGTGACCAAAATTCGCCTGTGCTACCCAAAAAGAGCCGTGTCAGCGTCATGAGGCAGGAAGCCGAGGACCTGTCTCTGTGAGTTACATATTATAGCATTTTCCTTGCTGTTCTTTTTTTGTTTGTTTAGAGATTCTAATTAGGTTTTGTGAAAATATTTTTATTGAACATTTTCAGTACAAAAATAAACAACCCAACAGACAAAGATACTTAATAAAACAAAATAAATTAAACTAGACAAGGTCCTGTCCCAAACTTTTCTGACAAAATCAGCTGCCACAGACCAAGCAACCACAGTGTCAGCCTTTGCGCAGTTCAGTTTGGCAGTGGTCCGTTACAGTACCAGGACTTCCATAAAATAGAGCAAAAATGGAAATCTTAAGTGCACAATCGGTTCTGCAAGCAATTTCCAAATTGCTTTCTTTACTGCAGTCAGAAAAGCCATTACTCTTATATATACATTTATTATATTACTAATACACAGACTAACTAAAGTTTCTCAGTGGAAAGTTTCATTTGGACTTGCTCTGCTGCCATTCTAAACACTTTTTTTTAATTAGATTTAATTACTGTATTGCTGAAGTACAAGTAAATTATAATCAGTCACATTTTAAGGGGCTCATATCCAGTCCATGCAGTTCATATGTGAAAACTAAGCTGCAGAAACGGCTGAATAGTGACTATTTTTGGTACATAAAACCACACATACACTTAGAATTCTAAAACAGCAACTCTGAACTTGATAGATCTACACATGATGTGTCTTAGTTTCTCTTTGTGATGGTGCTACATTACGTCTCTAGTCTACATTTTGTGTGTAGAGGTTGTGTTTCCTTTATTTACACTTTAACAACATTATTCTTCTTGCCAGCAAAGTTACAAATCTTTTATCATAGTTTGATATTCCAGACATCTTGACAATAGTCAGTCATATTTTCTGTTCTATCTGTCTCTCAGGTCAGCCCCTTCCTCCCCTGAGATCTCTCCACAGTCATCCCCACGGCCTCCGAGGGCCAACAACGATCGGCTCACCCTGCTTACCCGCCTGGTTAGGAAAGGAGAGAAAAAGGGCTTGTTTGTGGAGAAGATGCCTGCCAGGATCTACCAGGTGCCATCAATTCACTTATCAGAGAGTCTCAGGAAGAGTGCTGATGTAGGATCAGCCACATTATTCATGATAGTCTTATTCATTTTGGCATGTTGGGCAAAAACGATCCTGTATCACCACTCTTTTGGTAAATGACACACTTATTTTGACAGACAGCTGAGATCCAGTTCTGAATATGCAGCCTATGCGTCTCAAACATTATACAAAGTGTACTTCACTTTTAATGCTCAGTTGTGTATGTTTTCGTTGTAGATGGTGAGGGATGAGAACCTGAAGTTCATGAAGAACAGAGATGTGTACAACAGTGATTACTTTAACTTCACCCTGTCCCTGGCCTCTGTCAATGCGGTGAGACACCACCATGTATCTACAAGTGTTAAATCTTAGTCAATCTGAAATCAGAATTGTTTGTTAATTAGTTCATGTCCCTGGTCATATTAAGCACAATTTGTCATAAAGATATACATAATTGTGTTCTTATATTCTTCCATCAAAATGTAATCACTTTTGCCCACCTCTGAAACATCTGAGGTTTGATTATATCCGTATGCACCAGTGGTAAATAATACATAAACAGGGAAAAATAATGTTTCACCTCCCACTTTTACCACCCCCACCTATCATTGTGTGAAAACACTCAGCTAGCTCAGACACCCTCCCTGATACTGTGTTTTACTCAGAAATATGTCACTGACTTGTGCTGCTTTTGTAACTAGTTGTTTTTTTTAAACGTGCAGACGAAGCTGAAGCATCCATCCTATCAGGCCATGGCAAAGACCAGCCTGCAGCTGGCTGTGCAGTTTCTCTTCCACACCTACCTGCGCACCAAGAAGAAGCTCAGGTGCAGAAGCTCATTTGAAACAGTGCTAAATATCAAGCAGTCGTAAAATCAGATGGGATGGAAGACTGACTAAGTGAAATATCCTGCAATCAATTGATGACATCCTCATGACACTCTCTCTCTCTCTCTCTCTCTCTCTCTCTCTCTCTCTCTCTCTCTCTCTCTCTCTCTCTCTCTCTCTCTCTCTCTCACTCACACTCACAGGGTAGACACAGAGGAGTGGATAGCCACAGTTGAGATGCTGTTGTCTAAGAGCAGTGAGGCATGTCAGTGGATGGTCCAGTACCTGGTGGTCACTGAGGGTCGGGAGATCATCAAGTGAGTGAGAATTCATACACATGAGGATCTGCACATGTCCCACTGACTGACAGTTCCTGTCATTGTAGGCAGCATTTTATAAGACATTATGGATGTAATCAATTGCAAAGACACAAATACAGAAAAACCCAAACATAACAGCTTTTGATGCTTTTTTGTTGTTGTTGTTCTGGCTGATGCTTTTCTCTGTTGACCTTATCGCCAGAGGCTGCATACTAGTTAAGGCACTGAACACAAAATTATTAGCATGTGTCTCTGAGTGTGAGATTTTACCAGTGTCTAAATGACTTGCACCTGTTTCTGTTGTGGGTGTGACTACTTTCCTGCAACATGATTGGCTAAGAGCACTCAGAAAGAAGACCCTGGCCACAGAATGTAAACATCTAGAGCTAGAGGCATGCTGATAGGTTCTTAATGGGAGGTGACGAAGGCCTTTCTGTATGTGTGTACGGGTGTGAAGCAGTGTGGGAGTGTTTTGTTGGGATCGTAATGCCCTCCTTGAGGATTGGCTGGTTTGTATCGGACGGTGGGGTTGTCCTGAGATCACGCCACAGCTCTGTCAAGGCCACAGAATGTGCTGGACTGGTTTACAATCCTCAGGGCTCATCACACTAAACTCTTACTGATTTCGCTTGCATCCAGAGGGGCCACAGTGGAATACTGGCATTTCTATTTACAAAAGTCCAACAAGGTTCAGAGCCATGTTTTCACTCAAGTGGAGGTTTCAGCTGTAGCTGGTTGTTCCACCAGACTCCTCTTCTTGGCCAGAGAATCTGATACCAACGATACTTGGCTCTATTGCAATAACCAGAATACACGTGATGTATAAAGTGCAGAAAAACGTACTGAACAATAAACAAGCAAAATATACACTGTGTTTCTATGCATGGTCTAACAGCAATCACATTATACTCTATGTGCGGCTGCTCCAGAGTGTCCTATTCTGTTGGCGGTGCTTTTCTGTGGAGACTATAGAAGCTGTGTGTATGCAGTTGAACACCTGTGTCAACAATAGATGCACATCCAGTAACTGAATTCACTATTGAGAATGCATGTCTGGATACCTTTAGACATATAGTGTATTTATCTCGCCTTCTCTTTATAGAAATTGCCTGTTGGAATGCAGTGTTCGAGAGGTGCGTGTGGTGGTGGCATCCATCTTGGAGAAGACTCTGGAGAGTGCACTGTATTTCCAGGACTCTGGGCTAGACTGCCTCCTGGACATGCTGCTCTCACTGCTGGACAAGGATGTGCCAGAAAACTGCAAGAATTGTTCACAGTACTTCAGCCTGTTCAGCAGCTTTGCACAAAGGGTGAGAGACACTAAATAAATAAAGTTTTGTTGATTTTCTTTATTTTTTATTAAACAAATAAACACATAAAATTACATTTTCTAATGAAACATGTCCAACCACAGGGATTTGGGCCTTGTCAGTTGTTGTTGAAACATGCTGCTTATCGACGGATGCTCATCTTCCTCTTGGGTCCTAACCGACAGAATAATCAGGTATGACTGAATGGACCGTATATGACGAAACCTCTTTTGAACAGACAATAGTAAATCATGATTTTGAATACATTTTCTGTGTAAGCCATGCTGTCAATACTTCTTGATCAGTTATAATGGCTCTGGAGGTTTTCTTCAGCCTTGTCTTGGCTGAACTCCTGCAGCAGTGGAAATTAGTTGTTTGCTGTATTTGAAGGTCTTTGTCACTTTGTTTGCTTCAGAATCGTCGGTGGAGTTCAGCTCAGGCACGAGAGTTTTTGCACCTGCATAACACGCTGGCTCTGGTGGTGTTACACACAGACCTCACATCTCAGAGGACAGAGGGTGAGCACACATGCAGAACTCACTGCATTGAATGCAGATCTCACCTGTAGATTGATAAGCAGGAGTGGAAAATACTTCATTAATTGTACTTTATTGCAGTACTTAACTATTATTTCGGAAGATGAATGCTTTTATTTTCATTTTCAGTTAGACTTTCAGAAATTTTCAACAAAAATGTTAGAACATTATAAAGTTAAGGGAAAAAAAACAAGGCATCAGTGAAAAATTCATTTCGAAGCAGTGTTTTAAAATTGACTAAAAACTGTAGTCATAAGGTAAATGATGCCTTATTTTATAGTGTGTAAATTAGATAGTGTATGATTTGGCCTTATGAAAGTGATCCCTTTTTCTCTGTGCATGTCCAGCTCCTGGCATGTTCAAACACAGCTCCTCTGGCCTTGTGGCTCCATCCTCACCTCTTTTGCCACTACACCCAGATGTCAACACGCTGCTCTTTAAACCTGAGGGACAGCCTTACCTTATGGAGGTAACACACAGACACTGATTAGGCTCTCAAAGACACTCCTTAATAAATGTTATAGACACCAATGTGTGTGAATGTTGTTTTCACAGAGTTGTGTGTTTTGCAGGTAATGCTTGCCATGCGTGAGCTGTCCGGGCCTTTGTCCTTCCTTATAGAGATGGTGACATACTGCTGCTTCTGTAACGAGCCCTTCTCTCTGGGAGTGCTGCATCTGCTCAAGGTTAGACATGCCTGTCACATACTTTTAGATACCCACACTCAAGAAACACAGAACTACTTTACTGTATTTTGAAAACTATAAATCCACCACTAAAGCCTGATCTCACTCAGGTTTTCGCCATCCTTTACAGAAGGGTAGCCAAATGTATGTTTTTTTTTAACCATTTTCACAGTATTTACCTTTTTTTCAAATAAGCCTCTAAACAATCACTGAATGCTTTTTTGTACTATGAGCTAACTGATCAATCATGGACATTCTTTGGGTGAATGAAGGAATTCACATGATCTGACATATAAATAATTTTGATTAATGACTGATCTGGATAGTTTTTTTAATCAACAAGGGTTCACCAGTGTGTTTTAATATACTGAAAGGCATTTTGAAATTACAACATTTAACGGTGTAATTGCATCATAGTATTTTTTTTCTATATCATAAAGCCCTGCTTTACAGCAGTACTGATGCCCACATGCTCTCTGTCTGTGGTTTCAGAATCAGCTGGAGACGGCTCCTCCTCATGAGCTAAAGAACGTCTTCCAAATGCTTCTGGAGATTCTGGTGAGTGATGTTTTATAGATCAGTATTTGGAGTGAAGTTACATGTAAACTAAATAATATCGTACATTGTTTATAATAATAGGAAAGGCTTACTGAACTTGTACTCAGTAATGTCTGGTTATTGAAAACTGTCTGTTGATGTGCAGTCTACCAGAGATGTGTTAAAAGGAGAAATGTGAGAAACCGTATTTGTGACGTGGTTATTTTTTCTTGATTTTTCAGATGGTAGAGGATCCTCTACAGTCCCAAAGACTGAAATATGCATTTGAGTCAGAGAAAGGGCTTCTGGGTAGATACCATTCCTCTCTCCCTGTTATAATGAATCTGCATGTGTTTTTTAATTTGACTGTGAGTGGTTTTATTTTTTATTGCCCTTTTCCAGCTTTGATGCATCAGAGCAACAACGTGGACAGCAGCCGCTGCTACCAGTGTGTGAAGTTCCTGGTCACTCTGGCTCAGAAGTGAGTGTGCAGGAAATCTTAGCTCTCCTCTAGTTGCTTTTGGCTCTTTTACATGCTCTCAAATTGTAAAAAAAACAAAAAAAACAAGCCACCAGAGACATGACATCATGATTTTGGTACGTGAGTTTTCACACAAAGATGAAACTAATGTCTGTGTTCGCCAGGTGTGCTCCTGCTAAAGACTACTTCAAAGAGCTCTCAGGCCACTGGAGCTGGGCAGTGCAGTGGCTGCAGAAAAAGGCAAGTTACACCATTAAGCAAACCCTGTTTACTCAAGTAATGAATTCGGATTATCCAGATACAAGTACACAGTGTAATGAAGCAACGTTTCTCAAGAGCCTTGGTGCGTCTTACAAGAGCCTTCTCAAAGGGCTTAGTGCGTCCAGTCTTTACTGGACCACACAGTACAAGCTGACCGAGACAGTGCAATAAAATGTGCTGCATTGCAATAAATATGTTACACAACAGAGCTTAATGAGCCTTAGGCTTTTATTCATATGTGATTTCGGCTCTCTTAGATGTCTGAGCATTACTGGACGCCTCAGAGCAACGTGTCCAATGAGACGTCCACGGCTAAGACCTTCCAGCGAACCATCTCAGCACAGGTATTGTACTTCTCTGCAGTGGTGATGGTCTTCATTAGTAATGCAATATCTTGCTTCTGGTGTTTTTGTTATCCAGTAATCATTAGGAAAGTGTTGCTTAACCTATCACCTGATGTGTTTTGTGATTTTTGATGTTTAGGACACACTGGCCTATGCTACAGCTCTATTGAATGAGAAGGAGCAGTCTGGGAGCAGTAATGGCTCTGACGGCAGCCCAGCCAATGAGAACTCTGACCGCAGCCTCAGACAGGTTACACACAACACCACCTCATTTCCCCTTCATGTATACTACTGGTCTTGTAGAGCCAGACATGATTTCAAAACAAGAATACACTCGTACAACTTGTAAAACTTTTAATTGCTGAATTGCAGTGATATTAGCTGCAAACAGAGTATGTCCTCTCTAGTCCATACTCCTTACCTTGTAGAGTACAGTCAATAATACATGCAATCAAGCAAACAAAATTGTTAGCTAACAGAAGTTTTTTCCCTTGCAAGAAGGTAAGTTTTTTTTTGTGTTGATGAGTGATGAATCATCACCCCCTACTTTGTGCTCTGCCTTTGTGAGATGTTTGATAGGATTAGAAATTTAACACTCAGTTTGTTCCCACCATACTAAGTTCACACCCCACCAGATGCTCCCGTTATAAGATTTCACATGGCCTCACAAGACTAGTGCATTACAGACCAAAAGTTAATTTAACATGAAAAATGAATATTTGAATCAAGAAAATAGAGTAAAAAGAATTAATACTAAATGTTTGCAGCAATTGCATACAGCAAATATAGATCTAGATGTCAATAAACATGTGTTGTGCTGGTTGTTCGCAAATTAAAATAAAAAAAATTAAATCTCTGCTTGCTTTCATAATTTGACCTTTTCCAAGGATGGGTTTTTGGTGGGTTATTGATTATGGCCATGTCTCTCTCTTTGTTTCAGGGCTCAGAGTCTCCTATGATGTTGGGTGACTCGAAGAGTGATTTAGAAGATGTTGACCCCTAACTCTCTTCATCAGCAGCAGGGGCACTTTTTTACACTAGCAAAAAAAATCCCTCCAATGGAGAGACATTGTGGCTCCAAGCAGCCAATCAAAAGACTGCATTTGCCCTCCTATGGGCAGGAAACGGATCTCCGGGAAACACAAGGCAGCAACGCATCCAGTCAGAATGCTGAGTCCCATACTGCAAGCGGGGCTCAGTAGAACGTGGAGGAGGTTTTTTTTTCTTAAAACTTTTCACACAGAACTACACGATTCAGTGGTGCCGAGGGAGGGGTGGGAGTTTTAAAACAAAGGAAAAAATGAAGTGCTGTTTTGTGGATATTTGCCAATATAATGAGAGAGATACTATTCATGAAAACTTAAAGCTGTGTTCAATAGGTGTAATTTCAAATGTACAGTAATATTTTTAAGAATCCTATACTTTTCCATCTGTTTGAGTGGTGCCTCATAATCAGCTCTAAGAGGAACTTGCAAGCCTCGGCTAGTTAAATAATGGCTGAGCCTTTTTTTCACCCCTCTCTTTCTCTTGCTGATATTTTTTTAAATGCACTTTATATATGAGTTCAGTTTGTCGGAGGGGGGCAGGTGACGTTTGACAAGTTCCTCATTTAGGGGCGATTGAATGGCCATATCTCTTGCTGCTTTGCTTTCTTTCTTGTTCTTTCTTTTCTTTTCTTTTCTTTTTTCTGGCGCTGCCTGGGAAGAGAGTGTGAAATCTGAGTGCATTGTGGGATGGGTCTCGGAACGCTGCCTCTTTCTTCAGCCTCACCACAACCATGGTAACCGGTGCGGTGTCCATGGCAATTGAGATGGCCCCCCCATGGTGTCTGCTCATACTGCAGGATTTCTTGGACTTGCAGAGTTCATTCAGATATGCAAAGGGGAGCGTTGTGGTCAGTTAGTCTTTTAAACCTGTAGTCTAGTTCCTCAGAAATCACAGTGGAAAAGATTTTGTGCAAGAAAAGGAAAAGTAGGAACAAATCATCTCTCTGGTCTTCACATCTCTCCATAAGAACCTTCCTGGAATAAGTGCCAGAAGCAGCCAACTGACCTCTTATGGTGGAAGTGTTGTTTTTTTTTTTGCATTATTTTCTGTATCTGATGTTTTTCTGTTTTGCTGTGACTTTGTCTCAGGCCTGCTGTTAAGTCTCATCCGGATGCCAACTCAAACCACGCCTACACATGCTGTCTTTCACTCCTGGTTCCCTCTCTTGGCTCAGTTTTGCCACTCTGTGGCTGTTCAGTCGGAGCAGATGTTTTTCGTCAGCATGCAGCCTGACGTCTGACTGTTCTTGCTCAGAACTCTATTCATCTAATCATTCAGTGGCCACACGCACACTCAAAAACTACAACCCAGCTGTAATTCTTAAAATCTTCTTGCTGGATGAACACACGTTGTGTACAAAGAGTCTGGAGGCTTAATAGGACAAGAGCTAGTCATATCACACGATCAACCTCATGCGCGACGCTTTTGAGCTTTAACTTTTGATGCTTGTTCAGGGGTTTTACTTTGCCAACAGCCGTTTTATGATTATTTGCTTGTATGTGTTTACTTCTATCACTTCTGTCTGCCTTATAGCACACGTACATGGTGGAAAGTGGAGGACAGGGAAGGAGGAGTGGGGGAAAAAGATAGCAAGAGAGAACTGGAGAATAGTGCAGAGGTGACACGGTTCAGTTTGTGGAGCCCGCAAGTGCCTTTACCCCAGTCCTCCTTTACAACTCTTTCAGTTTCCCTCAGTTATGATTTACAAATCACACAGCGATGGCACTGCTGCGCTCATCGTCGAGTGCCAAAAGAAGAAAAGGAGTGCTTTGCAGGGTGCCAAGGTCAGTGTGGTACTCGTATTGACCCCTGGCTTTGATTATGCTGACCGGATTCTTCACTCTTGTCCATTTCACTTGGAAGCTTTTTGTCTCTTTCTGTCTTTTTCTGGGCCAGAGTGGAATCAGAAGCTTAGCAAGAGCAGAGTCAGGGAGAGTGTGTTGCTTATTTTGTACTTAGACTAGACTAGAGCGCTTAGATACTTTCACACAATGTTTACAAACAGACCTATCTCAACACTGCACCGCGTGATGCCGTTTGCTTTTCAGAAAGGAACGTTGCATGAAACGTCTTTCACTTGCCAATTATAAGGTTCATCTCTCAGCTGTTATAAAACTTCAATCGAATGATGAGGATCGGCTCGTGCAAGTTCCTGAACAATCATCCTTAAACAGTGAAGAGAAATGCTGTCGTTTACCTCAGTGTCACCTGCTGTTCATATGTCTGCACCTGAGTGTCATAGTTACTGTGCTTCTTTGCTTATGCATGTCTGTCAGTGAATGTAAGTGTGAAAGCTTGACTTTGATGTCTTTTGTTAAAGCTGTTTATGGGTCACTAGAACCGCCTACAGAGCAAACCGAGGGTCTTCGTGCCCACAATACCGTTTTAGCCTCTTCTTCTGCTTCTCAGCAATCAAACAGCTACAGCCATCCACTGTAGTTTTAATCTGTTTCATTTAAAAGTGTGTGGTCAGGTAAATGAAATGGTTTTTAGGATAATCAGATGCTGAAGTCCACATGTTGCCGTGTTGTTGTTTTATGGTTTCCCATAAGCCCAGGCCTGGTATCGCTAGGGTTTCCGCTCTAGCGCAGGCTAGTTCAGGCTTGGTTCAGGAGGGCACAGTTCACCAGACCAGTGCCTTGACCCAAGGAAGATCTCTCAGAGGGGCACTTTCACTCACAAACCTCAGAACAACCTCCTTTATCAGTTCATCACATGCAGGAAAGAGCTTGCAACAGCCCTGTATTTGGACAGATGCTTGAACTTCACTCAATACTGAACTTCTCCCCGGAAAGGCAGAAGCTGAACAGGTAGCTCAGCTCTTGATGAAAGGTGGACAACTTTAAGTAGAGAAAGCGCACTAAACGCTTTGAATTCAGCCTCCATTTTTTTTCCATCCCCTTTGCGATTGTCGTGTTCCCCTCTCTCGAGCGTTTTTAAATGGCAGGTGATTGGCCGGGGCTGGAGACACTTAAAGGGTTTTATTTACTGATTCGGTCATGCACCTCTCCCGAGGACGTGTGACTTGTCAAAATTCAAAAATGCATGTTAAAACCACATTTTAATTTGTACATCAGAGTTTGATTATGGGAACTATTTGATATAAAACAATGAATAAAACTGGAATGCACAACCTTTTATAAACTGTGTAACTTTTGTCTTCGTGCATCTCTTACAATGAAAAGTACAAGGAAGACTTTGAAGCTGAATAATTTTATTCTTACAAAACACAGGAAAACACATTTACAAAAAGAGTTAGCAGAATACATTCAGTGCATGCAAAAAGGGTTGAGAATGGAGTCAGATGTCCAGAAGTATTAGGATTCGGCAAATAAAAAATGGAGCATAGTGAACACAGGAATGAGAAGGAAAAGTACACTGCAGATAAAGGCTGAACAATAACTGTACATGAACAGTGACTTGTATTTCACTGAGACAAGTGACAGTGTATTAAGCATGGCTGATGGTCCTATAAATGGTTAACTGAAATGCTTTGCCAAGCATTTCTTTATTCCAAGACCACAGTTTTAGTAGCTGAGAGAAAACCAAGAGGAAACTTTTTGTGCTGGCTTTCTGATAGAGGCGCGCTTTGAAACTGAGAGGTAATGATCCCCATACACACGTGCCAAAAGGTTTCTTTGGAGCGATGCCTTTCATAGGCTAATTCTTTAAAAGACAAACAAATTTAAACTTTCAGAAATTTCAAAACTGAAATCAAACAAAAGTGGTTAATTTATGGCATCACTTCAAAGAACCCTTTATTAACTTATTTCTTGACAGGCATGTGTATTGGTTACAGAATATACCAGAATGAAACGTCATGAAAAATGTCACTGTGGAGTGTTGAAGACTTTGAATCTCGCCCTCTAACTGGTCTTAATAAAGCAATCTTTCTGTAAAAAGTCAAATTGACACAATGTTCCATACTTGTGTCCACTTTTATATATAACAGTATGCTATACAGTGTCAGAAGCATAGGAACAAGTCTGAGGTTACTTAACAACTAGATGTTTGCGACGTGATACACCTTGCACACTTCGTAGTAGCACCTTGAAGACATAAGCCTTTTAATTCCAGTACTAAACTAAAGGAAAGTCTTCAGACACCAAACATGTCTTGGCCGATAAACTAAATTAAGGACAGTGAGGAAAATTGTCAATTTTTCTTGCCAAACTATCCCTTCAACTCTGTTCCCCCCTTCTCTTTTTGTGAAAGCAGGACTGTACAGTGCAATGGACAATGCAGGTCACTCCACACAACTCGCAACTCAAAAACAAAGTTGAGGGGATGTGGAGTGGACAGCTGGTTGATAATAGCTCATATGAAGCAGTGCGCGTTAGTGGTTGTTTTGCTCATGGCTGTGTTTCCTGGACTCTCGCTCAAGTGGCCGGTACCTGCAGCAGATGGCGGTGGCAGCGGCTCCTCTGCCCTCTCCAGACACCCGGACCACACAGGTATTGCCCCGGGCATACGCCCCATGAGTGATTGAACCATGTGACACAGAGTTACATCCTGTCAGCGTCCACGAGTCCTCACACGACACCTCCGCCTGAGAAAGACGGAGGAGTCAAGGTTTATTGTCACAGAAACACCAACTTTGGTATCTGTATTTCTCAATATGGTAAAGAAGTGCATTTACGCGAATTCAAGCAAGAGGTATTTTTTTTGAAGGAACAGCAACAATTTACAGTTTTCCACTCAGCTCAAAAGTTGTCAGTTAGCCAAGACATGGCAAGTGTGCTGCTTTAATTTTGCGCTGGAGCTATAAGGACAATGTCAGCTTACAGCCGTCATTTAGCATGTTGCAAACGGCATGACTTGTGATATTTATAGTGAGTGTGAGTGTTCTCTTACTACAATACCCAGCATGCATTATCAAATATCTGCCCCCACATTGATAAAGAAATGTATTAATGTATCGATCATGTAGAGGCTAATAAATACAGACATGACTTTTCATTTCTTAGCAGTAATGTTAGCTGTCTGGCTAAAAAAACGTTCCACCCATCTTCAAGATCATTAGGTGGGTGTTCTCCTAGTCTTTAAACTGGAAAATCCCACTCTTGAGACTACTGTGGCATTACAGTAGGAGGCGATCATGTGTGTTTACAACAGATAACAGATGTATCAGTGGTTAAAATTTTCATGTTGGCCAGAGTGCCACTTTGAGTAATCTCAAATAGACTCGTGGTTTAACATTTTTGGCACACTGTTATCTACAAATGGAGGAAGCATGAATCAGAGCTTAAAACCAGTAGCAGCTCTCTTAAGCCTGAATTTTGTCCATACTTTTGAACATTTTTTATAGACAACCGTATTTCATATGAATATATCATGTGGCTAAATTAGCTGCATAGTTCCAGTGCAAAACTCAAGTGCAAACTTCAAGCACATGTTAAACATGTCTTGGCTGAGTGACCACATTTGGGGCAGGGGAAAAACGGCTAATGTGAGTTTTGCTGAACTGTTCCTTTAAGGCTGGTCATCTATGTGATAAAACGCTATTTGGACTTGCACATGATGCATTTGTGTTGTGTTGTATGAAAAGTTTAGGTGGGAGCTCACCTGCTCCGTAAAGCCAGAGGGGTGATGCTCATTCAACCTGCACTCCAGACTGGGGGCGTGGCAACAGGAAGCATGTGATGTCATACCAGCTCTGGGAGGACACGCCTTACGGTTGCCGTGGAGAGGCCGCATGGGGTCAGCCACGCCTCCGGACTCAAAGTGAGAGCTGCAGCCTGCAGGAAGAAATAACAGCTGTTACCCAGCATGCAGGCACACACACAGACAGAGGGATGGACCAACAAATGCAGACACACAGACATGCAGCTACAGCTCTGGCTACAAGTCAAGTTAATGTGGACTTCCTGGCTACATTGAAGATAGTAGCACAACACTGACAGATACTGTGGGCACCTAAACATGCAAGTCCAACAGCATGGCTGCATCCAAAACCACATTCTGCTATATTATACTATACAAACTGTACTAACAATTGCACTAGCATTGGTGGTGTAGTATTTTGACATATCATGCTAGTATGTGTTAGATGTAGCCTATTTTGTATGTATCGTATGTAAATAGTAGTCTTGTAAACACATCGCTGTGTAAACAAAGTGAAAAAGGTTCTTAACTCCTAATGTAAGTTAATGTAATGAAATTTTATTCCAAGCAATTTTGGATCATTGCTGTTGGTCTATTCATCATGACATTTTCCACAACTTTACCACTGATAGAGAAGATGTGGAAGTGGAGCACAGCTTTTGCCTACTGGGATCAATTATTGATATCAAAGATCCATTAAAGAGCTTAAAAAATATCTTCAGATGCAACAATTTGTCTCTATAGACAAACATCAGAATTGTCAAGGCTTTGCTCTTCTCTGTGGTTCTGATGGATGTGAAAGCTGGATCATAAACAACCAAGACAAAAAAAATATTGATGATTTTGAACTTGTGTTGGCAAAGACTTTTGAGAGTACCTAGGATGGCAAGGAAAGCAAACAAATGTATCCTCAACCAAATCAAATCTCACCTCTCACTCAAAGCCTAGTTAACCATACTAAATCTAACCCGATTTTCTCCCCAATTTAGTCGTCTCCAATTCCACCCGCTAGTTAGGACTCCCCCAATCACACGATGCTATTAACGCTAGGAGGGTGAAGCCTAAAACACAGGCTTCCTCCGAGACCTGTGAAGTCAACCACCGCTTCTTTTCAAACTGCCGTTCACGTAACATCACTGGACAGCCAAACGCGCTTGGAGGAAAGCGCCAACCGCCAGATCTGTTACGTCAGCTAACAGACTAACAGCTAACGCGTGAGTGATGGGGGGAGAAGGTGGGGCCATCCTACCCACCCAGAGAGAGTGAGGCCAATTGTGCTCTCTCGGACTCCCAGCTACGGATGGCTGTAGCATCACCAGGGATCAAACTCGCGATCTCCTGATGATAGGGCAACGCTTAGACGGTTGCGCCACTCGGGAGCCCAGAACCATACTAAATCTTATTTTGGACATAATCTGAGAAGAACCAGTTCACTGGAAAAGACCATTATGTTTGGGATAGCTGAATGTAACAGAGGAATCACGAACCAGCCAATTAAAAGCCTAAAGACCCAAACAGAAGACGGGACAGGATACGGTCGCCAGGAGTCGGAATCAACTTGACAACACTTAATATTAATAAAATCATAATAAAAATGTCAAGCTGTCATTTTCAAATATTGTACAGAAAGAATAGAGGTTCTGATCTGACAAAGACAATTGCTGTTCCCTTCTCTGGACCTTGTAGGAGTGATAGAGGTGTCTGACTAAAGTGAAAAATAGTCACAAGACTTCTAAATAAATAAATAAAGTCACAAGTTTACAGATCCACTCTTACCTGTGAGCTGATGCTCTGGGCTGGGGCATTCTGCATCCATGCCTGTCTGAGGGCTGGCATGGGCCTGGCACTGCACACTGTTCCCTGTGCAACAGCGGGCTATGGCATATACACCCTCTCCTCCGATGCCATTATGGGCCACACACTGCTTTTGCCCATCCCGCATCTGACATCAGACAAAAGCCAGTCAAGCAGTGATCTAATGTGTAAATGAGATTTTTTGCCTATAACTATTCATTATACAGTGTGTTAGAAAGCTGGTTTATAGCAATTCTATTTGCACTGAATGTAAGTAATTTGAGAGATATAACACTGCAGAGTTTCAGACCAATAATAAGTGTACAAACACCAAATGCGTAGTGAAAGTGAGTTCAGTGTGATAGACTCTCTTTCTCACCTCTATTCTCTCCCCAGCTCGGGCTCCGTTTGGTGAATAGCTGGAGCAGCTGAACATCTCTTCACCCTGACGACAGCGAGCCACTACCGTATCGATGACTGCGACCCCTGACTTCTCAGACCAAACAGAGCGACACAGCAGAGCATCACCTAGAGACACAATCAAATTTAGGGCTTAAAATTATAGTCTGACCGTGAAACCTGTAAGAAATGTGTCCAAGCAAGAGTGTTAATCACGGAGTAAATCAAGTCCAATTCATCTTGCCGTCTGTATGATTACATAATGGGATAAAATTTTAACACTTGTAGGGACTGACCTGAGGGTGCCGAGGTAGTTTTGGGCAGGGCAGCCACCATGTTGGGGGTAGTGAGGCGGTGTTCTGCAGGGAGAGAGTCTGGATTCATCACCTGGTGGACTGAGTGATGACGCAGCAGCTGGAGCACTTCAGCAGGGCTGGCGTTGGGGTTTGCGTTCAGAAGCACCGCAGCTATACCTGATCTCACACACACAAAATAGCAGGTAAAAAATAAAATCAGATGTTAATGCATTTACATTATTTAATAATGCCAACTTATTACACATAACTTAAAAGTTAGGAAGGTTTTTTTTTCTTTTTTCTATTAAGTTACCACTTAAGTGATATAATGTTCTGTTACAACAAAGACAGTTTCTCAGCTTATAATTTTGGTTTTCCCAATGTTTCTTGTGTGTGACCTGCATTCATTGTGTGCTAACCGGCGACGTGTGCAGCTGCCTGTGAAGTGCCGCTCTTGGTGGTAAAACAGGTGGCGCAGTCACTGGAGGCACTGATGATGTCATCACCAGGGGCAAACAGATCCACACAGCGGCCTACGTTGGTGCCTGTGGTCCCGGCACTCAGCGGCTGGTCAGCAGCGTTGGTGGCACCCACTGTTATTACCTACACAAATTAAGGGTAATAATAATTGGAATACATGTCCTTATTTTGTACCTACTTCATAGTTCCACCTCCACTGGCTACTTTATGGGGTCTACCTTCACTTTGTAGCAGGGGTGGACGAAGTACAGTACTTCAGTGCTTGAGTAAAAATGTTCTTAAGCATCAAAAGTAAAATTACTTTGAGTTATAATATTGTTTTAATGAACAATTTATATTAAGGAGAACTGTGAGCCACACAGGTCTTCGTAACAGAACTTGTTCATTAAAAATGAAATTATACAAGATCTATAATCTCAAAAGTACTTTTATTTTTGATACTTAAGCACATTGACATGTAAGTACTTTTGTATTTCTACTGAAGTATATCGATAGAATACCTGTACTTTTACTCAAATAGCAATTTAATGAGAGGATTTCTGTATTTACTCGTACAGATATAATGTACTTCGTCCACCCCTGTTTTGTAGATGCCCAATTTGTCAGCCACCCCTAGCCCATTTATCACTGGTCAGTTTGTGACTACAGGATTGCTGTTGACCAGATATTACCTAGAAGATAGACGATTCTCAACACCATAGTGACACTGACATGGTAGCATGCGATATTGCGGGGGTCTTTACACAAGGTGCTGAGGTTTAGAGTGGTCAACTACCCAAAAACATCCAGCCATTGACAGTTCTACGGTCAGTTACGGAAGTTACCTCTGATGAAGAGCTAGAGGATGGCTAATATAAACCATGCAAGACAAAAGCTATCTATTCATATCTATCTAAAAGTGTATGTATTTAAGTGGCCAGCTTTATGTAAAGCAGTGGTTCTCAAATCAGTCCACAGGAACAACATGATCCACATTTTTCCTCTATTCCTATATGTTGGAAGTTGGGATCGAGCAAAAAATGTGGGGGGTCCCTGAGAACCAGTTTGAGAACCACTGGTTTAAACATGGTTGACTTTGTGCAATCTAATTCATCTGAGTCTGAAAATGCAGAATAGTCAGAGGTACCTCAGGCTCTGAGGCTGGTGAGTACAGACAGGCATCATCCTGGTAGTTTCCTGCTGCAGCTATAAGAACTGCACCAGACCGTACCATCTCACGACAAGCAGTGTTCAGAGTCCGACTGAACCCCCCCGCAAATGGTAGCAGTATGATCACAGGACTGATGGGCTGAACCTGCAGAGATGCACGGATGTACTCCAGACCTGTGGGAAAATGACAGTTTTTCTTAGGGGCTGCACAATACATCATTTGCTACTCATTATCACCAGTGTTGTAGTAATAGACTCCATGATTTCTGTATTGGCTTGGCTACATTGTAAATGAGGGTCTCCCTCAAAGTACTCTGAGCTTAAATAAAGGTTGATTGAAGTAATCTGTATTATGTAATTAGACTACAAAACTCAAATACTTGTAATTAGCATAGGGCACCTTAGAAATAGGCATGATTTGATTACAGTTACTTGTATTGGGTCCTTTTTATAAAGATTACATTTTTTGATTAGGGAATGTCCAATAATTCTTAGGGATGTAACTTTAGATGGTTCAAACAGTCAGTATATGAACATTGGCGTACTGTATAAAATTACATTTTGAAAGAAGATATAAAACAAGAAGCAGTCTGTGTCAAAAGTAGCAAGGTGTGCTGCAATCCTAATATGTAGTGGTAAAAACACAGTACTAGTATTTATCTTCAAACCAGCAAGAGCAGAATAAATACTACTATAAGGCAGAAAGAGGGATGAAAGCTTTCAACACAACACAAAACAAATCTTAATTTTCTCTTAATAGTAACTTATACATTACATATTCAGCTTTTACCTTTTTATTTTTTTTTCATGTGTAAACAGAAGCCATAAAAGCATACTGTCAAGAACAACACAATTGTTCACCAAGTTTTGTTTCTGTTTACCTGCCAGAACTCCTGATACTGTGCCTTTGCCCTGGCAGTTGAGCACTCGCACGCTGTTCACACTGACGCCACGTGCCACGCCCGAGTCTCGCCCACTTACCACCCCTGCCGTGTGTGTGCCATGACTGTCACACTGATTGGCCTGCAGTAGATACAGAGAGGGATGGATGTAGAGACAGAAGTGTAGTACTGTTTGTTTACTTGCATTTAACGATATTTGGTACTCAAGTCCACTGAACAGTAAAGCCCCGCCATACATTACAGTGATTTAAGGGCATTTACAATGATTAAAGGGTAGACATAAATTGAAGTGTAGACAAAATACTATATGATATGTTGACATTCAAAAAACATATATTAATACGTAAACAATTCATCTGCCAAGTATTATAGTTTCTTAACATGGCTATGGTTGCCAAGCAACATAACAGTCAAAGATTATCAACGTTCATAGAGAATTCAGTTGACGTGTGCAGTCAAATGTATATGATATCATGTATTTTACGACTTTGAGTGTGGCTCAGCCAATCAGATTTTAGCCAGGGATATCCGTTATAAAGGTATTATTGCTTATTGCGCAGCACATTGTGATTGCAATGATGTCCCAATGATGTCTTGCAATGATATCCTCTCAATTATGCCTTGCATAATAAAGATAGGAACCTAATTTGGTCATTCTGATGATAAGCATGATTAGAACAAATGCCTGTAGACATTAAAACCCTGGATGGCCTTACTTGAGCAGTCACAGGTTTTTGGCTTACTAATCAATGACAGGACATAGGGTAAGGCACATCATTTAATGACTATAGAACAGGGGGGCCCAATCCTAGTCCTGGAGATCTAACACACCTGATTCAGATAATAAAGGCCTTTAAGGGCAACTGAAAATCAGAAACAGGTGTGCTGGATCTGAACTCTTCAGGGTGGAGGCAATAGAATAATTAAAGCATGCTATCTGATAGAGAGACAGCGACACTCTGATGTAATGCTAATGATCATTATAGAAAGACAGAAAGATGGACAACTTTCTTGTGAATTCCTAGAAATTGTCCATGGCTTCATGATGGCTGCATCAAATATAAAACACACTTCCTGTGGCAAATGGCATGCTACATAATCTCTATTACCACCTGTTCTTTCTAACCTTGAACTGCAAGACTTAGTTATAATACAGTACAATAAGCACAGCCTTCATATATTGAATGTGCAATATTCAATTATGAATAGAGAGTATAGTTTACTGTTGACTATTTAAAGCAGTTTCTTTCGTGTTGCTTGTCTCTCTCAATGGTAAAATCTGACCCATCTACTTCTCAGGTCACTGACCTGTCTGTGAACTCTGACCCCATCCTCCTCTGGCACGCTGTTGAAGTCTGTCACCATCACTCTGCCCTCGATCTCACGATGACTGGTCTGCACGCTGGTGTCCATGAGGTACAGCCCCACCAGAGCTCCATCATCTACACATGCACATACAGTTCTCAGACACACTCATGTACTGTTTTCAGAAGTGGTGCAAAAACAGTCCCCCAAACCTACATCATTCCGGCCCTGGAGGACCAGCACAGTTTGGTCATTTCCTTGCTCAAACACGCCTAATTAAACTCATCTGTTAAATGGCAGGTTTAGTAGCTGTGTTTGCACACAGAAATCACCAAGCTGTACTGGACTCTGGCCATCCAGGAAAAAGCAAAGGAAAACAGCTTACAGAGAAGACATAAAGACGAACTGCCTGAGAAGAGTTCTTTTTTATGGGTTCAAATGTGGCCATGTATTTACCTCTTTAATTTAATAATGGACACATGTGGAGACATATGGCTGATCCCCATGAAGGAAAAACTTTTATGTGGAAAAAATGAAAGAGTCAGATAATTTGCTTTTGTTTGCTTAGGTTTGTTTAGGTGTAGCACAGCAGCATTAATTACTCTGATGCAGAAGTTGCCATAGAAATATCCCATATGACCTGAAATTAGGGCTGAGTGATATTGATATAGTTCAGTGTCATGATAAATTAATTACACTATCATGGCATCAGTTGATAGTTAAGCTAGCACTGATAAAGTTTATGAGCCCAGGCTTCCTGGGTTTTGCTGTGCAGTAATAAAGGAAATGTCTTACAAACATGACAAAGTTTTTTGTTCTGTTCTCTCTTTTTAAAGTACAAAAGGAGGCTTACATTGTGCTGTAACACAGACACCTTCTAAAAATGTCCTAAAAAAGTCCCCAGTAAGTGGTATTAATTGCAGTTGCTAACTGTCAGGTCATTGATCCTCTGAGTAAAGCACACAAAGTAACAGGAACAGTTATTTGTGGCAGCGGGAACATTGCTACTTTATGGGCATCATATTGTTTATTATATAATGTGTGTGTAATACTCCTGTGCTGAATCCAAACTGACCCCATAGCTACCAGATCAGGTGGAATCTAGAAACGCAGATAAGAAAGGAAGTCTAATTCAACTATTCACACTCAGCCAGCGAATGAACAGAGGATACAATTCAACTTATAACAGTGCACAACAGCACCACAGCCGAACCCAATCAGGGAAAACTTTTGTGGTGGCGGTAGCCGTAGGTGAGAAACGGATTTCAGGAGTGACAAACTCTACAGTAAACACAAAGTGAAATATCAATAAACTTTATAAAGACATAAATAATATGATGTTTCTTGATTCTTTCACTTTTTTTTCCAAAACTTTGTGTCTTAAGATTTTATGTTTGTTCTTAAATGTAACAAAATTCCCTGTCATCAGTGCCCATTGCCGTCACCTCTCTACAACTGGAAAGTGATATCACACCACGGCAATATCACGGTATACTGTTGTGCGTGCGTGCGTGTGTGGTGTGTGTGTGTGTGTGTGTTCTCACTGGGTGGTGTGTATTTTCCGCTCTTGTTCTTGGTCTGCACGATGCGCTCCAGGTTCCATGGCAAGCCCTGCGCGAACACCGTCGAGTCCTCTTCGATATAATCCACATGAGGCAGTTTTAGCGCCTACACACACACACACACACACACACACACACACAGAGCAATGATGCTGTGAGGCTTCTCTCAACTCACGCTGTTACAGTGAGGCGCGTGGAGGGGGAGGAGGGAATGGGGGGTTACCATGTGTAGGACATCGCTGCTCATCTTCACCAGGAACCCGCGCACAGCTCCGGAGTAAGTGCGCGTTATCTCCGTCAGATAGCCGCGCCTCGCCGCTTTGGCTCTCAGCGCGCGCATAGTGCGCGCTACCTGGTTCTCGTGCGTCCCGCTCCGCAGCACCACGATGTAGTGACCGGGCACGCGCCACGCGGCCTGCAGATGAACAGCCGGAGAGAAGAGTGAGAAGAGAGAAGAAACGAGCAAAACAGCGCAGAGACGGAGAGGCGCGAGCGTCTTTCGGCGCTTGGAGCTGCGCGCGCGCTACAGCACCGGAGCGCACGTGGAGCTCAATGCTGACGCACGACGCCATGTCTTTATTCATATCCGGACCTAATTACCATAACAGCTAGATATGTACATTTATCCAGACATCATCAGAGACCTTTATACATCAGCTAAAAGAAAGTATGATAAGAGATCATTTACATATCAGATGAATTAGAGTTCTACCTAAAATATACATTTTAAATGAAAAAACAACGATAATGTAAGAGTATTTATATATCGCTGTTGTTGGAACAAAACCTTGTGTCTCCAAAAACTTTACAGGAGAAGGAAAAGCATTATCAACTTTTAATGGAAGTGAATGGGTAATTTTTTATTACTTATATACGCTACTTATGTAAACTGTATATATATATATATGTACATATATACATGTTTATACATATATACATATTATATATATATATATATATATATATATATACATATATACACATATATATGCACACACAGTTTACATAAGTAGCGTATAAGTACAAAATAATCAAACAAAATAATCAGCTAAAATATTGTCAATTTTCTCTTCTCAAACAAATCTGATTACCTGATCGACTCTCTAACAGCAGCTTTCACCTCTAATCTTTAACAGTCTCGTATAACCACACACTGTACACTAAATACTGTACATACATTCCTGAAAAATAAAAGCAGGTATGATTATTAGATACACTCTGCGTTCAAAGGTTTGTAGACACCTGCTCAATACTAACAGGGAGTTTGTCCTCCCTTTGCTGCAGTAACAGTCTCTACTCTTCTGGGAAGGCTTTACACTATATGTTGGAGGATTGCTGTGAGGATTTGATTGCATTCAACCAGAAGAGCATTAGTGAGGTCAGGCACTGATGTTGGATGATTAGTTCTGGATCATAAACGCCTCTCCAGCTCTTCTCAGTGATGCTCCATCACTCCAAAACAGTCCCACTGCTCCACAGCCCAGTGCTGGGGGGCTTTACAGGCATGGTGACCTCAGATTCAGGTGCGGCTGCTCCAGAGCGCCCCATTCTATTGCCAATGCTTTTCTATGGAGATTGTTCAAGCTGCGCGTGCGCAATTGAGTAATGCAGCTTAAAGCAGGTGAATTCAGGTGTCCGGATATTTTTGGACTGTCTCCTCTCAGCTGGGGTCTTACCTTGGTGCACCTGAGGAACTGGGCGGACGGCGCCGACTCGAGCTCAGGCTGGGAGTCGTCCTTGCGGATCAGGGACAGGATCATCTCGTCCTCCTCGGTGTAGTCTTCCTCGTGAACCTCCATCGCCGCCGCACGCAGCAGCAGCAGCGCGAGAGCTAGCAGACGCCTCATTCCTGCACAGCTATGGTCAGCCAGACTGGCTCAGGTCAGCAGCAGCGCGTGTCTGTGGGAGTTTGAAGTCTAGTGCATGTGGGGGTCACTGGCGGAGGGACTGATTCGAACCTCTGATTGGCTCTCCGCTTTAAGGCGGGGTCATGACGTATTCACGGCTCACGCCACCGCGCTCAGATCGCACCATCTCTGCGTATATAAACTCACCTGCAGTCTGGAGTCAGGTTACAGCGCCGTGCCCAGCGCGCGGGAAAGCCCCCCGGAGCTGGAGGGCAACTTTCTCACACCTGTAGGATTCGACCTGTTGTCCTGGACCTGCCTGCCGTTTAGAGTTCTAGATGAGCTGTAATGTTAGAACCAGGCTTTATACATTTAAAGTGACCGGACATGAAACATGTCCAGCTTTTTTTCTCTCAAACACAACGAAGAATAAACACTTTTGGAGTTGTTTACCTGTTAATTTCCATATCTGAAAAAGTTCTCTGAGCACAAATGCGGGGGAAGAAAATGGCAAGAAGCTTAGAGTTTTTAATCATTTAATTTATCAAATCAAGTGTAGTCTTTTCATCTAACTGGACAACAGATTTTTATGAAGACAACAAAAAATCCAAAATCCAAATTTGGTTGTAAATAAAAGTCTGAAAATTGCACGTAATCAAAAAGTTATGATAAGATCTGGCAGATGTTTGTCTAAGGTGTAACTATAAAGCATTTCATCACCTTAGACCAATCAGAACAGGTTCTGTGGCCTTTTTCCTTTTCTTACTAAATTTAGTTGTTAAACTCGAATATGGGTTAATTTTTTTTTTTTTTTTTTTTCCAAGAACGATTTTTCCAGAAGTGCTTCGAAAGTGATTCAAGTAAACAGACAAAAAAACAGTACCTCTCAGGGTCCATGTTGTCGCTAGGGTGGTACACCAGAGCCTTTAGTTGGGGAACATAACTGTGACGTATTCCATTGCAGTGCTATATTTTAAAGTTGCATCAGCTTCATACATCCAACTCCAGGGACTTTTATTATTTATAGTTTTATTTTATTATTTATATTCTACTTTTCTATGTTATAAAAAGTTACAAATATGCCGCTTTCCTCAGAGATTGTGAGTGTGCCTCTAAACCCCTTTACAGCTCACAGCTGGACCTTAAGGATCATATTTTTTTAAAGGGTATTTTCACATGATTTTTCTATGGAGAACTAAAGTTTACTGTGACTGCGCTTTTTCTGACAGCGTGTGTTGAAAACGTATCCATATTACAATTTATAAAAGCACATTTTTCTCTTTGTTGTGGTTATTCTGCGCAGTATCTTGATACGAACACAGCTCAGCCTAAAAAACGTAATTAACGTAAATGTAAAAACAAACAAACAAACACAAACAAACAAACAAACAAAAACAATGTAAAGGAACAATCAGGGCTCCCTTCATTAGATAAAAGCCAAACAACCTCTCAACGTGTTTCGGCTCGTTGTGCTTTCAGCAACTAGAGTCTAATTTTGTTGAAAAATGATGTAAAATTGTAATGCTAAAAAAAGTTCCGGTATCTCAGCACATCCGGGTTTTCCTGTCTCCGGTAGCTGTGAATGATGGTTAATTATTCGCCTGGTTGGTACACGCTGCCTTCGCGTGACTGACCCAGTGCGTTGGCTGTTGGACTGAGTTTAATGAGCTGAATAATCCTTATTGTTATTACAGGTGACACGTAAAAGAAAGAGAGCTTAAAGGGGAGCTCCACCATTGTTTCCAAATTTCTGCATAATTAAATGGTAAAGAAAGTCATTCAGAGCGGTTTGGTGTGAAATGCTTAGCTCTAGAGAAACTGACTGAGTCAAATGTTCACACGAGCTTATTGCCTCTAAACCCCATGTGTCAAACACAAGGCCTGCGGGCCAAGTCATGCCCGTGAAATTATTTCCATTTTCTGTTCTTATTAGCCCGTTTCATACTGAGATGCACTACAGTCCCCAACATGCACTGCAACATAGTGTGCGTTCTGATCCCCCAACAACAATCTATAGGCCAGCGGTTACACAAAAAGAAAAGATGACTGGTGTCCTGGTGTCTAGTTCAAGCAAAAAAAAAAAAAAAAAACACCTGGAACAATTTATTTTTATTTAGAATTATTTTTGATTAAGCATTAAATGCATATTATGCTGTTGACGTTTTGGCATATTTTGAATAAACAATGGCTCACAGATTTGCTGAGGTTTTTTAATACGGCCCTTTTAGTGGTTGAGTTTGACGCCCTGCTCTAAAAGCTCCCTCACGGAAAGTTATTATACACAATGGTTATAAATACGCCAATACGTCTGAGACATTGTTTTGTGATAAGGTTTTGGCCTAAAATGCATTGTTAACCCATATTTTAATCCATTCATGGCTGAGGGGTACATGTGGAAAGAAAACTTTTTTTTCAGATTTTCCACTATTTTACCTTTATCAGCATTACACGTAAACACTCAGTGTAGGCTCACTGTTGGTTTTAAATAAAATGGCTATATTTGTGTTGTGGACATCGCCACCTCTGGTTCCTATCAGCAGCACTATAAAGAAATCTGAGTCTGTAAGTTTCTATACGATGAACCGTTTTACACCAAAACACTCTGAATGACTCTACACCTCAGCGACGGATTTATGGGAAAGATCTGAAAAATGTGTGAACTTGCCCCTTAGGAGAAGTCCTGCCAGAAATGCAGATTTAGAAGCGTGCTGCCCCCTGCCGGTGTGTTGTAGGTATTGCACCGTTATTACTGCGCGTCTCTTTTGTAGGTCTTTGCATTAACACTCATATTATACATTCCAGGCTCGCTTTGACGGGGGGTGCGAGGACTGTCTTTAAAAAAAAATTACATTATCCATTGAGAGATGTCAAAATTGGAGTTTATAAACTTTGGAGATTGTTTTGATATTTAATGAAATAAAAGGTAAAAATTAAATATAAAGAGAAATTATGTAACTTCTGACACATAACTACCAGCAGTCTTTAATGCTAAAGTGATGGGTGCAAATATTTACAGTGATTGCTGTGGAGAGTTTTGTGAGAGGGATTAAAATGCTGATTAGAGATCTAACAAGAGGCACCCATACATTACCATCCAGCATCCATTGGGCATGTAGTGTGTGCACTTTGAGTGTGTGCTGAATATTTGCCGCTTCCTGTTATTACAGCTGAAAATATAAACTCTATCCAAACCTTCATGGCACCAGTGGAGAAGAGCAAGAGCATTTTCTGTTTGCTGTTTCAGTTAAACATGGAGAAAATGTCTGGAGGAAAATTGCTGTGTAATGTGCACTTGGACGGTGTACTAAGCAAATGAAGTACACCTGTGACTGAGTGATTAGATTTCACTGAGTTGCACCATTCAGCAGTGGATGGGTTGCCAGGGGTGACGAGCATGTTCTGGTGTGCGGTCTAATCGGTTACCGGCAGTGACTCAAAGTAAACCCTGTTTGCCTGTGTGTGTATCTGTGTATGTGTGCAGTAGTCTTTACAGGGCTTTTATGTACGTGCACAGGCTCAGAGGAAAAAGCACAGTCGAACCTGAAAACTAAGCTCCACTTTATAACAATTAAGGCACGTACACTCACTTTATTAGGTACTCCTACTGTGAACCTACACTTATTGTGCATTTCATCAGACCCACTAACTATACAGGCACAGGTTGCAGTTCTACATAGACTTCAGTCCATATAGTTCATTTGTTTCATATGATTTATTCACTCTGTTCATCAACAGCCAGGATCCCCACAGGACCACCACATGGGATCAATCATTCTCAACACTGCAGTGACACTGACATGGTGGTGTGACATTGAGGTGTTTAAAAACTGCAGCAGCACTGGAGTCATTCTGCAATTAGGGGTACATCTGATTTCATGCAAAAGGTACCAAAAATTATTTATTTTTTTCCAATCAGTTTTCTAAGTACTATATTTCTTGACCATAATATATTCACTAATGGTCAAGCTTGAACTAAAATGCTTTAAAATATTTTCAAGGAAACTCTAGAAGATAAATTTGTCAGTTATATAGAGATGTATGTTATTTCAGACTCTGCTGAAGAGCTACACTTCAATTAAAACACAGCTTTAAAAGTTTCTAAGTACAGACAGCTTTGTATCAGTTTGTTTAATATCAGGTAAAAATGTGGCTTTTGTAGGAACACAGGCTGTGCAAGTGTAACATAGTTGACAGGTGCTGTAACCTTGTTGACATGAGTAACACAGTTGACATATTAACAAAAAACCTTACTGGCTAACATAGTCGACATTTTTCCTATTTTGTGCATAATTTCTAGGGCTGTCCTTGCACGTCTCCACAAGGCCTGATTCCTATCAGGCTAATATACGTTTTGACATTTATTATGGTCATTTACAAATAGGACAAAAAATTACATAACTTAGTTGACTGTTAATTACAACCACGTTTCCAAAAAAGTTGGGATGCTGTGCAAAATGTAAATAAAAGCTAAATGCAAAGATGTGCAAACCATTTAAACCCTATATTTTATTGAAAATAGTACAAAGACAACACATCAAATGTTGAAACTAAAAAAATTTATTGTTTTTTGGAAAATACTTGCCCATTTTGAATTTGATGCCAACAACATGTTCCAACAATAAAGTTGAGATGGGGGCAACAAAAGGCTGGTAAAGTGTAATGCTAAAAAAAAAAAACACCTGGTGGTTAATTAGCAACAGGTCAGTAACATGACTGGGTATAAAAAGAGCATCTCAGAGAGGCTGAGTGTTTCAGAAATAAAGATGAGGAGGTGTGAAAGACTGTGAGGGCAAATAGTGCAACAATTCAAAAATAACGTTTCTCAACATAAAATAGCAAAAAACCTTTGCTTTTCATCATCTACGGTACATAATATCATTAAAAGATTCAGAGAATCTGGAGAAATCTCTGTAAGCAAGGGACAAGACCAAAAACCAGTATTGGCTGGCTGTGACATTTTTTTTGGAAATTATGGACACTGTGTCCTCCGGGCAGAAGACCACTCAGCTTGTTATCAGCACACAATTCAAAAGCCACTATTTCTGATGGCATAGGGGTGCATTAGTGCACATGGCATGGGTGACGTACACATCTGTGGAGGCACCATTAATGCTGAACGGTATATACATGTTTTGGCAACATATGCTGTCATCTAGGCGTTGTCTTTTTCAGGGAAGGGCTTGATTATTTCAGCAAGACAATGCTAAACCACATTTTGCTTGTATTACAGCAGCATTGCTCCATATTAAGAGTCTTAAACTGACCTGCCTGCAGTCCAGACCTGTCATCACTGAAAACATCTGGTGCATTATGAACAAAAAGTACAACAAATGAGCCCCTGAACTGTTGAGCAGCTGAAAGCCTTTATCAAGCAAGAATGGAAAAACATTTCACTTTCAAAACTTCAGAAGTGTCTCCTCAGTTCCCAAACGCTTACAGAGTGTTGTTAAAAGAAGAGGTGATGAAACACAGTGGTAAATATGCTCCTGTCCCAACTTTTTGGAACATGTTGTTGGCATCTAATTCAACATGGGCATATATTTTTCATAAAACAATCAAATTTCTCAGTTTCAACTTTTGATATGTTGTCTTTGTAGTATTTTCCTTTAAAAATATGGTTTACATGATTTCAATATCATTGCATTCTATTTTTATTTACAATTTGCAGAGTGTCCCAACTTTTTTGGAAATGGGGTTGTAATATACTTTTTGACTATGGAATATGATTTATAAAATGTTAAAGAAGTTGAAAGGCGATTCACCAAAATAGGCTGAAAATGTTTGCCACATCAGCTGTCTTTGGTCACTTTTTTGGGACAAACCATTGGCTTGTGTGGGCAGACACTTCATTGCTGACGTAGATTTATCTGAAATACTTTAAATTGAGAATTTCATCAACTTTAATATGTTGCATTGCTTAAGGAAGGCCTATTTGCATATGTGTTTACTATTTTGAAATAATATCATTTAAAATAATGCAACATTGCATTCTTTGTAATGTTTGAATCCAAACTGTTTTCATACTAATGAAAAATAAATCAAGCACAGCTTGTGGTATATTACACTCTCAGAAATGAAGGTAAGAAACTGTCATTGAGGCAGTGCCCCTCTTGTCACTGGGGTGGTACCATCAAGAGTACATAATTGTACCGTAATGCATTGAAATTATATTTTCTTAGTTGTATTGACTCCACACACCCCGTCATTTTATTGTTCTGTTCTAAAATATTAGGTTATGAAAAAGTAGAAATTTGTACTTTTACACTGGAAAAACTTATTTAAAGTACAAAATTAGACCTTAAAACTGTTGTACCTTTGAGGGAACATTTACTTGAATGACAATGTACCTGTGCAGTACCTTTCTAACAGTGCACAACATGTTTAAATAGTAGAAAGATGAAAATTTGAAGAAAATATTTAGAACAAAATATGAATACCATCACTGCACATCAACTATCACCCAGTCATAGATAGACCCACTGATAGAGCACACACACCACACACACACACACACACACACACACACACAAGTGAAAATGAAAGTTAACACATCATCTACCTCTAAAGGGAACAAACTTAAATATGGCATTTTCCTGCTAATGTCTGCTTTTTTCTTTTTTTTTTTTAGTTTAACTTGTTGGAAAAATAAAACAATATAAAAAATGTGCTTCTTGACTAAGTTTTATTTTTCTCCCAAAATGTTACATTAACGGTGCATATGCAAATAAACAGTAATTGTGCATTAAATGTGCAGGAGTGTGTTCTCTGTGGAGGACGTGTCCTATTCTCACTTATAAAATCAACAAAACCTGTAATTTGACCAGTGTGCTCAAACCTTTGCATTCGACTGTATGTCTGTTTAACCTTTTGTTTCATCACGCTGGTTACCTTCCTCTGTGTCCTCTCCAGCTGTCTCAATTGTGGTTTTGCTGATTGAGAAAATGTGAAAATACACTGGAACCTGCCGGGAGGATGAGGCTGCTGATTACAGTATAAAGAGACATTTATAAACCCAGCTTAAGCACCTCGTCTCAATTTGCTCTGTCTCTGTCTCCACATCCCCCCACCAACTGCACTCCTGTCTCCATGGAAATGTGAACCAAGGTCGTGTGTGTGCGTGTGTGTGTCTGTCTTATCCAATGTATAATCCACCCAGTGCACTGTTTTGACTTCAGTGAGTCTGGAGAACTACAACAGTGTCATTTTGCATTGACCGTATTAATCTCAAGCCATTGCACGTACAAAGCAAAAGCACAGGAGCTCTCACGAGAAGAAAGGCAAAGAAAAAAGAAAGAAAGAAAAAACATAAAGTAAAAATTCTGTTTATCTCCAACTTAGCCAGTCAGCTAAGTCATAGTGTGCTCCTTTACTTTTGAACTGGAAATGAGTGAATCATCACAAACCATGTTCAGAAACCTGCTTATATGATTTCTGTATAACATACTGCTATTTATAACAAAGTAAAAGTACATCATACAGAAACACAGCAAAAGCATGAACAATAGCAGCTAGAATTCAGACTTCAAGAACGCCGCTACTACTGTTACAGGCTGACATGTGTTTTTATGGTTAACAGAATGTTATGAAATGTCAGAAACCTCATAATACATTTGTTTTTAAATTATGGAAGAAGTTAAAGGAGTAGTGTGTAAGATTTAGTGCAGTCTAGTGGTGAGGTTGCACATTGCAACCACCTGAATACCCTTCCCTTTCCAAGTGTGTCGTAGAACCTACGTGGCTACCTACATCATGTTTTTGCTTCTTTGATGATGGGGACTCACCCTCCCTTGCTTTTTCCTTGCTAAATAATAAGTATGATCCTCCATTTGTCAACACTGGGTTCTCAAACTTCTCACAACACATAATGGTTAGCCAGCACCAGCAGCAAAATGCTAAATGTTACGAAGAGCCATTTTGTCAAGTTTCAACAAAAATCGAACCACTTTGGGAGCCACAATATTTCATGTCCATTTTATTGAAGTGACGTTTCACCATCTTGACTGTAAATATGTCTCAGTATGTGCTAATGTTCTAGTATAGTCTAAAAAATATAATATAAACAAAAACGCAGACTTTTCTCTACTTTAAGCCGTAGCTCAGCTATAGCCACTTTTCTCACATCTCCAGCAGAAAACTTTTCCACAAAAGTAGAACAGTTTCTTGTAAAATGTCTCTTAACGTTTGGTCTTTTACGAGGCTGAACTCAACTTCTCGTTCACAAGCTTTTCGTTTGAATTTTCCCATTCCACCTTAAATGGTGCCTGAGGTGCCAGAATGTAGCTAACTGTTGCACAATTTAAGGTGGAATGTGAAAATTTAAACAAGAACCTGAAGTGAATGAGAAACTGACTTCAGCCTTGCGACTTTTTAGTGTTTGACAGTTTCTTGTTGCAGAATAAACGTATCAGTAAACCAGCCGAAGTGATTATAAATGAAAATAAGTCCATTTGTCAAAAATGATCAATGTTTGTCTTAAATCTTTCTCTTTGCTGTTTCGTTAGCTACTAGCTAGGCAAGATTGTTGTCTTTGTCGCTATGGCAGTCTGCGTGCCAATCTTCAGAGTTAAAGGGTGAATTAGCAGTTATATGTACAACTCCAGCGTTTAAGACCATGTATTGTTAAAACTGTGTTAGAACAGTGTGTTAAAACGATCAGCAGGGCTTTACAGTAAAGGAGGATTATTTTATTTTCTGCTGTGGAGCCACAACAGGGCAGCAAAAGAGCCACGTGTGGCTCTGGAGCAGTGTGTTGCTGACCCCTGATTTAAGCCAAGCGTGTGATGATTTAGGTGTGCACTATGCACAATGCTAACTGGTAGGATATTCCAGGACTAGCTACATTAGCACCACAGCTCCAAAATAAACTTCAGACATTTAACATGTGTAGCTGTGAATTTGCAGTTCGTACATGATATTTTTATCATATTTTTGTCAAACTACAGTTTTAAGGGGCTTATTCACTGTCGAGCTCTGATGTGAAGTAGCAGGAATCATCCACCTTGCCGTAGTAGAGCTCAGGCTCAGAGCTCGGCTTTGCAGTCCCACTGGTTAGGAGAGGGGTGCTAGAGCGGGCCTGGTGCATGCTGGGAGAGCTGTAGAGGACACCTTTGGGCTCAGGAGGTTTGCTGTCTATCTGGGTGAGGGAGAATACTTCATCCTCTTCTCCTTCCTCTTCCATATAGAAACAGGCCAGAGGAGCCTTGAGTGGTTCTGTCGGACTGTCATAATAAAAAAAGATAGAAAATGTAACCAGTAACGTCTTTTAGATTACTTAAAAAATATAATCTGATCTGATTACTTTTGGCCTCTTTCTGATCTAATTACTTTATTTGCTTTCTCAACTGGATAACTGGTTTCATAAAGTTCAAACTATCTGAAGATACAGTTCTAATATCCCTTCTTCTTTCTTTTTCTCCAAAAACTACATGTAGCTGTTATTATCAGTCATAGTGAGACAGCTATTGTGCAGTTTACGGATCCTCTCAGTAAAGAACAGTGAGAATGAATAGACTGATGTATTACAGACAAATCTGTTAATGAGTGCTTTCCAGCCTAAATGTATGAGTCATTAAAGTGTTATTAACGTAGTGTATTATTTATTGCAAGTGGATGAGGTATTTTTTACACATCCATAATAACAGTTGAAATTTTGTCAATTATTGACTAAATAAAGGTTGTATTAACATCAAACCTTTGCTATGCTCAAATGCACATTTGTTTCCACAACAGTACGTCAGTACATTTGTCATAAAAGCATTAACTTAACAATTAAAAAATAGAATCATTTATCTGTGTTCTTAATCATTTATCTGTGTTCTTAATCATTTATCTGTGTTCTTAAGTTGTGCTTTTCACCCTGTCACACCAACTTATTGAACTATAAATATGATGTTCTATCAGGTTAAATTATATGATGAAGAGGAAGTGACATCATTTAAGTCTTTAGAAGAGCCTGGTAAGTTTTGCTTTTATTCAACATTAATAATTGTTGTTTTCTTCATGCTTGAACAGGGCCTGTTAAGCACAACATACAAAAAATAGACAGTAAAAAAACATTTTTTATGATTTTTGTTTTTTGCAATGTTCACAGGACAGTTATGTAATGTAAAAATGGAAAGTCTGAGTTTGATAACAAGCAGCATGGCAGCCAGTTTAGCTTGAAATATTCCACCTCTTCACTTTTCACTCCATCACAAGTTCAGTGTGATGTAGCTATCATTACCATTTATTTTGCACAAAAGCATAACAAAGGTTCCTGAGGCGGGAAAACCTGTTTTTAGGAAAGAGGAAGATGTAATTGAATGTATGGAGGACAAATACTGTGATTTCTTACCATTAAAAAAATAATAATAATAAGTGGCATGTCCATTTGGCACTGATCTTGTGGAATGACTCAGAAATCCTTTAAAAATCACTGTAATATAAGCTTATTTTCAAAGATAGCCTACTTTAATAACAAGTACTTGATTTTTATAATCAGATTATGTAATGAACAGACCAAATGAAATGCCCCAAAAAAACATCTTTATCAGTGTCATCAAATCACATTAGAACCTAATATCACTTTTGCTTTCTCCTGTAAAGTTACTCTCTCTCTCTATGTGTGTATATATACATATATTTGATGGAGACCATGCAGTCATATAGTCTGTTACTAGCACTACATATCCTAATTATATCAGCAAAATCAGAAAAAAATTAGTCATACTTTTGGAGTCTTTGTAAAACTTTTCCCTGCAAACCCTACAGTCATTTGCACACTTTACAAAACATTTCAAACAAGCAATTTGAATCGCTCAGTACTATTGATGAAATATTGTATTCGCTATTGCAAATTTACTTCAATCTACCATTGCTGTACCTGTAGTTTCTGTGTAATGATTAAACTGAAATCCAGTTGATCACACTGAACAGAAGGCCTTTAGAAGACCTATCTGAATCCACTTGTTTATATTCCATTAATAAACTAAGCCACGTTCTGCAGTCACACTACAAGCACCTGATTATGTCTAGTTCTTTCTCTCTCTCTCGGTTCTTCGGGCCTTCATCCCATCAATATTACCATGAAGATAATCTCGTCACAGACCCTATAACTGCATTTGCTGTCTGGCAAGATTCAATTGGCCAGTGACGGGGCCTCATTATTGCAAGACTGATTGGAGAACTCGTGGATGATGAGTGTTAATAGATTATCCATAATCACACGAAGACACAAAAAGCCTTCTTATCTGCCACAATAAATGAGATTAAGTTACTCAGAACACATGATTGGGGGTTGTTTTTAATACGTCCTTTTGACCTTGTTGTCTAGTTGGTAAACTCTGTGTTTTTTTCCACATTCAAAATTTGATGTTGTTTATAAGGAAATATCCATTCCTATGTCTACAATGAAGTAAATAATAGGTAAAGATTTGAGAACTGTAGGCCGTCACCCTGCCATAGCCATAGACTTCATATATATATATAAAATGTACAAACCACTTAAACCCTGAATCCTATATGGACTCACACTAGTTTCTCATTCTCTTAACGACATAACGTACACATTATTTTAGTATCTTATCATATTTTTTTAGATAAAACCAACAATAAATACCATATCCCAAATCACGGAATAACTAAATTTCTTCACTTTTTCAAATAGTCCTTTTTACATTAATTTATATTAGCCCTGCAATTGACTGGTGACCTGTCCAGGGTGTATCCTGCCTTCCGCCCAATGACCGATGGGATAGGCTCCAGCACCCCCTTGCACCCCAGAAGGATAAGTGGTTTAGAAAATGTGTGTGTGAGTGTAATTTATTTTAAAAGTAAAGAACATTATTGCCCTCTCCTGTAAAGTTGCTGTTTTAGAAATTGGACAGTGACGAGATGGAAACTTTGCTGCAAAAACAGTCTGTTTTGAATTCATTGTAGTTGTGATGTCACAACCATGAATACATTTACATGTGGTTACCCATTCACACTGAAGCAGATTGCTCTTTAACCGAGGCACTGTAGAGGACGACCAAACAGAACAGTCTTCAAGGCACAGTAACGAAAATATTATAAGGGATAAAGAGAGTCTGAAAATGGTCATGTGAAAATTATTCATGACTGCTTTTTGTGCACAAAAGCACATATTTTATAAGTGGACTATAAGTCGGGGGCAGGTGGGACTACACGACCATACCTTAACATCTGCAGAAAGCTGTGCACAGCTGTTCAAGATACAATGTTGGCCTCAAGTTATTGTGGTGTCCTACCTGACCTGGAGGACCTCAGCTCCAGCACACAGCTCCTGTTTGTCAGCACTCTCCAGCACTTCCTGGTGTGGCAGTATAAGTGTGACCTGCAGGACACAGCGACAGGCCTCATGAAATGCTGAGCAGTGATGTGAAACCCAAGTCTGAATTTAATGCTTTACTGCTATGTATTGGGTGACCTGGTCACCACCACATTTTAGGATAACTAAAACAGGCTGCACTCAGACAGGCAGGCAGATCTAACAGGCATTTTACTATAATTCAGATTTGGGCCATATTAGCACTGATGAACTACATTAAGCAAATAACTATGTAAGTAGCCTCTACAAGCTAAATAAGAATAATCTGATCTGAGCATTTCACTCTGCAGTCTGCCAGCATGAACAGACAATGAAACTCTCCCAGGAACACAGCAAAAAGGGTTCTGGGTTCAATTCACCTGGCTGGGCAACCAGAATACTCTCTGTGTGGAGTTTGTATGTTCTTCCTGTGTCTGCAGGTGCTCCGGTTTCCTCCCACAGTCCAGAAACATGCAGTCAGGCAAACTGAAGATGCTAATTTGCCCCTAGGTGTGAGTCTGTGTGTCTGTCCTGTGGTGGCATGGCAGCCTGTCCAGGGTACTTCCTGCCTTCGACCCAATGACCGCTAGTCTCCAGGACCCAGCCCCCCAGTGTGTGTGTGCGTGTGTGTGTGTGTGTACGTGTGTGTGTGTGTGTGTACGTGTGTGTTTGACATATAACACAAAATGCAATACTGCAGAATTCATTAAACTCACCTTTTACAATGGTGTGCAAAAGTCAGGGACCACCATTTTTTATTTCAGTGTCAAAACAGCTATTAAGTACACTTTTTAGGAGACATTTCTGAGAAGAATAGATGTGAAATAATCAATTTATATAAAGAAGGGAAAAGCCAAAAGAAAATAAGTGGAAAAAACAGGACCAACTTCTAAGACTGAACTTTGGTCTTTTGGACTTTCGTTTCCCGAGTCTCCCGAAAAGAATAGGCTGTAATGAAGACAAAGTTGGTCACACTAAAGATTGATTTAATTAATCAGTGGTGCTCCCTGACTTTTGCAACGTACTGAACATACCATGCCAGTCTCCCAGACTCAGATTAAGCCTCTAGACTAAAACTTTTTAATTGCATCATTATAGTTTAGCCTAAGGCTAAGCTGAATTCTTGTTTGCAAAACTGTCCCCTCTTTTATATGTCTTCTGTAATATAAAATGTGAAGCTGATCATTCTCTGCACAACTGAGCCAATTAAAGTTTATGTATATCTTTCTACTCACCCTTGGATAGCACTGGCACATACTCCACACTGTCCCTACGCCCACCATCAGCGCTCCCATGGTGCAGAAAGTGGCAAACACCTGTGGCTCCTCCACGGCCATCAAGAAGACACCAAGTGCCACCAGCACCAGCCCCAGGACGATGAGCCCGTAGCGGTAAGGCTTGTTCTCCGCCATATGGGTGAGTGTGGAGGTCTGCTGTGATTAAACTAGTAGTTTGTATGTTTGAAAGAGCCCTAAGGAGTGGTTCAATGACTTTGTCCCTAAGGAGGTGAAGGTGAGACCATGTAGGAGGGTCAGATGTGACTGAACTTCCTGGATCATTGCCACATTAATGGGCCTTGACCAGGTGACCTTCCCTCAGGCTGCATCTGTGCTATGCCTAAGCAATTTTGCTAAACCTCTCCAACACAACACAGTGTTTTGTGTCCAGGGCTGAGCTCATAAAAACTAATGGAGAAAAACTAAGCAAGTCTGCACTGTGTATTCCAGATGTCATCTGGACAAGCTGTCAACATGATGCAGCAAAGTTTAATCAGTTAAATTATGTACATTAATACCAACTGCATCTACACCAGCTGATGAAATCTGGATTTTAATGTTCAGCATGTCCAGATCTTGCATAAATCATACAATGAGGTGTATTGTTTTTGTATGGCAATAGTTAATAAGCGAGTGCTGCCCACTCACCATTTAGTAAACACATTCCTTGCTAATACATGATACTGGGGTCAATATGATTCAAACACAGCAGCTAATAATTCACCGACAATTTGGTTCTAAATCATGTGCGGCCTATTTATCAGTTATACCCAGTAGGACTGCAATCTGCTGGCGACCTACATGCAGTCATATCAGCAGACCACTCGCTTCAATCAGTCAAACAACACTGATTACTATATTACTGCTTTGCATCGTGACTCATATCAATGACTTTCCAGTGCTGAAGTGATGAAAATTGGCTCTTGATTTATTCAAATAATCCTTTATTTGAAGGTGGCTTAAACAAACAGTAAACCGCTGAAGAACAGGAAACACAAACAGTGATATACATTAACAAGTGAAGCTCACGTAGTATGAAACAAGTGCTTCCCTCAAAATTCCTGATGCACGGATTCCCATAGAAAAATACAAAGCATGGAAAATAAGTGTTTAAAGTAAGTGCATTACCCCCACCCCCTTTTCTGTCTTACACGTCACAAAAAAAATAAAACAAAAGTAAAAAGTAAAACTGATATATGCCAGTCCACAACACAGACGTGTAGAAGTCATTAAACTGATTAATGGTCCAAGGCACTACTCAGTGTTTAAATTCATGTTTTCAAAAATAGGCACTGTCCAGGTATAACAGCAGACGCTTTCAGCTAGCAAAGCAAGTGATTACCTGCTATATCAAACATACAAGCACTGACATTTTCAATTATCATCTGGCCCGTCAATTAGTGGCCATCTAGCGGATTCTCAAAAGGCCCTTCCCTGGTCAAGTAGTGGTATTTTCATATATGCATTGTAGTGGCATCATTATTATCATTGTCAACTGTCTCTAACAGTTAAGACAATCTTTATAAGTTCACAATGTAATGGCTAGAGAGACAAAACCAACTAACCTGCTTTTGGACTTATCTATCATTCATTATTAATATAATCATTGCTAGACTATACAGGGACATTATCTAGATACTGTTTTACTTCCTGGCTCATGTTTTGACAGTTTTCATGTTGGGTTTCATATTACGGTGCAGAAGTGCACATTTCCCAAGTCTCCTGTTAGCATTCGATTAGAGCCAGTTTTTCCAAACTCCACCTCACGCACAATGATTGTCAAAACCAAGTGCAAACACATATAAATAACCAAACCAGATCTTCCTCTTTTTACTGTCAAAATGAGTATTATAAAACTATGAACTATAAAAAAGGAGATTTTTTTAGGCATTCAAACTCATTGTCAATGTCAAACTCCTGACCTACATTAGCCAACACATGATCTTTATTAGTTGTATTTATTAAAGGGGAATTCCAGAGATTTAAAAACTATTCTGCATAATTCAATTGTTGAGATATAAACAAAGTTATTCAGAGTGGTTTGATGTGAAACAGTGCACTGTAGAGAAACTTGTCAACTTCGATTTCTTTACAGTGGTCACAGGAACCAGTGATTACAATTTCTACAATGCAAATATGGCCATTTAATTTGCTATTCAAAATGACCAGTGTGTAATGTAATGATGATTATGGTAAATTTTCAACAAATAAACTTTCTTTGGGTACTAGTGTGCTTTGCAACTGCAGAATTATGCAAAATTTTGAAATATAGGTGGAATTCCCCTTTAATGGGAATTCATCCATGGCTCTGCCCTTACGAAGGGTTCCCCCAAGCTTGGTGTATGAAGCCTTTACTTAACCATTCCCTACTGAGTGAACTATGTCTTCAAACCATTTGTACTAATTTCTTTAAATATATATATATATATATATATACATATATATATTTGTTGACCTAGTAATTCTACTGCAAGTTTATCAACTGTGATTTTAAGACATCAAAGAGCAAAAACGCCTGTAAATTGTGTGCTTGGAAAAAGTCTTGGAAATTGTATGCTTAACATGAATACCAGCCATGTTTTTCTCATATTTTGTCATAAAACTCTCTTTCTGCGTCCTGATTAATGAGATTTTGTACTGACTCTAAAAAAGAGTTACACTCAGCCAGTATATAAAAACCACAGCTGTGCAGCTCTAAGAACTAATGACTCCTTTGTGGTCTTGAACACGTCCTTACAAGAAAGGAAACCAAAAACCACAGTTTCCTGCAGTGGCTGGATTAAATTTGCACTTTACTTGGTGTTTTGATGCCATTAAAAGCCATGTGACTAGCAGTAAGCAAATAATATGTTACTGAAGAGGAATACATTACATGGCCAAAGTCAGTGGTCACTTATGGTACTCATTCAGCCTGAGTGGTTTGAAAACAATACAAATGCTGAATACTTACAGGCCACTTTTGGCTATCTGGCTAACCATTTAGCTAGCATTAGCACCTAGCTCTTAATCCTGGTTAGCATCACCCTCACATGGCCATGAGGGCACAGCAGTGATCATAGCTGGTTGAGGGATGTGGTGGTCTTCATGACTGTCTCATAGGATGGTGGGGGCTCCATGTCCCACGGCGGTGGGGGTACCGGGCAGGCTGTGGAGACTGGTGTGTGTCGTAGCTGAGCGCTGAACTGAACGCCGCTCTTCTGCTGAAGCTCTGCGGATTCTGTCCAGCCTCCTGCAGAAAAAAAAAGGTTTACAGAAGATGCTCAGTCCTAAAACAAATAGCAATACTGTCACAAGAGTTTTATTTTTCAAAACAATGACGTTTCACAAGAAGAACTTTCTTGGAATGCTTTTTAAATACAGCACTGTGCAAAAAGTAGAGAATAGAGAACACCATTCATTTATTTCATTTCCACCTGATCATTAAAAACCAATTATTTATTTTTAGTACCAGAGAAAAAAATAAAAAAACAGAAAATTACACAGCAGCAATATAATATATATTTTCTGTATTTAGGGTGTCCACTCCTTGCTTTTATTACAGCTTCCACTCCTTTCGAGAGACTTGCCATTTTTCAAAGAAATCTGCAGGGATATTTTTCCACACCTCCAAAGATCAGTCTTAGAAGTTGGTTGCATTTTCTGTTTCTCACAATCCAAGTAATCCCAAACACATTTAGTGATGTTGAGGTCTGGTCTTCTCACACAAGCAGCTTTTTTTGGTTCATCTGCCAAATTTCATTCTAATTATATAAATAAAAATGCATCTACAGTGTAAGTGGATCTGGTAAAATGGAGTGTAGATGCAAGAAACTGTACTTAATAAAGCGGCCAGTCTGTGTATGTTGCTACTTGGTCATATTAGGAACAAATACGGCATCAATTTTCATAGCTAAGCAGACGATGCCCAGCTTTACATATCTGTTGAGCCAAACAGCACTACTGTTTCAAACACTCTGACAGACTGAAAAGCTGATATCATTAAGTAGAAGAACAGAAATTTCCTTAAACATAATGAGGAAAAAACAGAAATTCTTCTTATTGGGATCAATGTTAAATGAGATACAATCATGAGAAAATTAGGAAGTCTGTCCACACAGGTAAATCCAGCAGTGAAGAATCTGGCTGTACTGATTTATTTTTTTATTTTAAAGCACACAGCCTTTTTTCACTTAACACTGCTCATGGTAGACTATATATTAGACTGCATTATGCTGAGAAATTTACACATTTTTGTTTTTCCATGACTTTACCGTAACTCGTTGTTTACTGGTTTGCGAAAAAAGGCGATTGTTAAAGTTACAGCTAATCCAGAATGCTGCAAATGCTTACAGCAACATGCAAGAGACAACATATCACACTAATTGTGACTTCATTACACTGGCTTCCAGTCTCTTTTAGGATAGGTTTTAAAGTATTGCTACTGGCACCATCACACAAAATGGACTGCTTGTCTCTGTATGTTCCAAATCATTCTTTAAGGTCAAATAATGCAGGCCTGCTTAAAGTACCAAAAGTTAACAAAAAAAGAAGTGGTGAGGCAGCCTTTTGTTTTTATGCACCAAAAACATGGAACAATTTACCAAGAGAGATTAGACAGGCACCATCAGTACATGACTTCAAGAAGCAGCTGAAAACATTTACCAACTGTTTTTCATGATTCCATTGTTTTTTACTTTTTTCAATTTTTTCATTTACTTATTTAACATTATTATTATTGTTATTATTAGTTTATATTACTACTATACATACTTTTCATATTGTTTTTTTGTTTAATTGTTCTTTTGTACTGTTTTTCTATTTATATTTTTGCATTTATGTTGTGATATTTAAATGTATGCTATCTGTTTTGTCTCCTAACCCTCTGTGAAGCGCTTATGCATTTATGTATGATATGTGCTATACATACATACATACATGCATACATCATCTAAACCGCTTAATCCTTCTGGGTCGAGGTAGGTGCTATACAAATAAAGCTTAATATATTTTTTTTTTTACTGTTACTTTTCAATTCAGTAAAAACAAGAACCTACAGTGTCACTGATGTGAAGCACCAAAAGCTACATGAGTGCCATTCATCAATACTCACATTCTGACCACAGGATCACTGTTGGCTGGATGTTTTTGGTTGCACATAGTGAGCCAGACTGACAGTAAATTGTGGTTGTGTTGTCATGTATACAGCACACAGGTGTCTGGCTGCTTCTGA